CCCCCCCCCCGCGGTGGACAAGAAAAGTGGCAGAGACTCATTTTTTTAACTATTAGCGTAAGTAAATTCTAAGTACTAAAATGGCTAAAATATCCGGAACAATTACCGCAAGAGGTCTGGTAATTACTCTACATAGATTATAAAAGGTTGCTATGCGATCAATCTGGCACAAGCAACTCATTGTTTCAGTTACCTAGGTTAATGGTAAGTCAAAAGAGTTGGTTATTCTAAACCGCTCTTATAACAAGCTTAATTATATGAGGCTTTTACAATAACGTCATTTTGACTTACAGGAATATCCCCCACGTCTCTTGCTCCCGAAGGTCTGAAGGTCCGAAGCACACAGATATCAAAGCTAATCGACTTTCTCTGGTTGTTTAACTATATATGCAAAGTGTTTGTTTGCTGTCCCTCTTTTGAATTTGGCGGATAGAGTAACCGTGCATTAATTCCACAAAAGAAATTTGAACAGAAAGAGCTAGAAGAGAAGCAGGTCTGAAGTTGCTTAGGGGTGTTTTGGCCTCTTGGGAAGAGAACTTAATACTTTGAGTATTCATGATTTCCAGAGCACCTTAAAATGGTGCCTTCAGAGTCTAATACCGAAATGTGTGAATGGGCAGCGAATGGTGGGTTATGAATCTGAGGTGTAATAGAAGTGGTTCTGGCAAATCCCATTCACATAGTGTCATGTTGATCAAAGTGACTCATTTGATTATTATATATGAAGGCTTTACAGAACCCAGCCCTGGAGTTAAACTCTATACCCTTTCAAAGCTTATTACACCGCCATGTCCTTCGATAAAGCCCCCTGTTCGATTATTGCTTTCAATCAAACCTACGAAAATCCAGGAAACGACGCCAACATGGAACACAGTTCTAGCACGACAGAAGAGCTCTTCCCGCAACAATTTGAATACCACCATCCACACACTGACGACTACGATGCTTTGTATGAAGAGTTAGAATCTTGTAAAGACAAAATAACCCAGCTCGAGAAAGAAAATATTGTACTCCGAGGTCGTCTAGATGAGCTTAGTATGACCAGTCCAAGCGAGATGTCGGTCGAGTTTGAGACTTCGACGCCCATATCACTCAATGAAAATGACGAGGTACAGGATATCGTCACACCCGAAGAGGAAGGAATAATGGATTATGTCACTTCAACCTTGAACGACCTGGAACTGGATGAAGAAGGGGGTTTTCCAGCAAGCTTGCCAGGACCAAAAAAACGATGAATTTGATATTGAAGTATGCGACATCCAGCTCCCAAGCGAACTAGACCAGAATGTAGAAGAGGATTTTCCAGCAAGCTCTCCTGGACTGAAAGATGATGAATTTGATATTGAAGTATGCGACATCCAAGCCCCCAGCGAATTGGACCAAACTGAAGAAATGAGCTTCGTGGAGTACTACTCCTATCCTGAAAGCAAAGTCGAGCCTACCGCAAACGATACCCGTATCCTTTTCGACATGCGCGACTTGCTTGACCAAGTTGCACCATCTTTGCAGGAAGATGTCCCCGTTCCCTATGTCCGCTCTATTTCTTCAGGACCCTACTATGATACCGAAAGGTTTGCGGCGCTGATTAAGAAGAAGACCGGTATAGCGCAAGTTGGAAAGACGATATTCATTATCAAAAATTTGATTAGAGGACTGTTGGACGTTGCAAAGATAGGAGAACCGCCCACTGAGGTGGATGGTGAGCATCTCAAGGCTGCATGGGAGGGCTGTGGAGAGGAGACCGCACGGAAATTGGATAGAGTGTATGAAGAAGTGAAAGCTTGGCTTCAAGATAAACGTGGGGCTTAGATTTGCCAATATGTATATAGCTTTTGTTTGACTAGACAGTTTTCTTACGGTATTAAATCTACTCCTAATTTTCACAAGCTTACTGCACATCGTATCCTGATAATACTGAGAAATTTCAGAAGCCGTACCACATACTTCCTCATCCCAGTATTGACAGCCCTACAAAAGTTCTTTTGTCATTGTTCCGAAAATTCCGACAAAACAAATCCCCTCTCTCCTAAAAACCGCGAGACATTAAATACACAGGTTCCTAGGAATTCGCAGCAACAAAAGAAAAGAGGGTGACGGCAGCTTCGAACCAACACATCTTCTATGAACTGAAAACTTGATGCAACATATTGGTAGTCAAGGTCGTTGAGTCACTCGTAGGTAGTATTATGAGCGATGATTCAGCATAGGGCATAGCCGGTTAATAATTTCACAAATTCTTATTCAAAAATACCGCGTGACAATGCTGTGATTCTGATCGAAGTTGAAACTTCTTCTGACTCAGAAGCTGGGCTAGAAAGAGTATTTAAGAAGAGACTTGGTCCCTATTGACCATCTTATCTTCGCTACACTACCCATCCATCTCACTGCACTACCTCACCAAAACGATCAACGCAACACTCTATTAAACGTCTGACTATTCTCAACCACTCTTAAAATATGTTTCATCTATGGCCCATCTATTCTATCGACTCCGACAAAAGAATCATCGCAGAGGTAACGGGATCCCTCAAAGAATGCTTGGATACTCAACGTCATGATGAAAGGAAAGCGGGTTTCACCGGCAACAACCAGGCCTTTGCGCAGCATCTTGACAGTACCAAGAGTCTCTCAGAAATAGAAGAGTTCAAAAAGAATCAAGAAAAGGGACTTGAAGAATTGGAAGTCATGCGCCGCATGTCTCATGCTAAGAACGAAAGGTATAGGACCAAAGTCAAGGAAGCCCAAGAGGTGCTAAAAGAAGTCCAAGAAGAACTCGCAAGAGCCCAAGAAAGGGTCGCAAAAGCCCAGCAAGATAAAGTGGAGATTAATGAGGCGCTGGCTAGGTACCTACACTTTGTGACTATTTCCGGAGAGGTTTTGGAGCGTCGAATCCGTCGATTGGGGGAAGCTTCAGTATTGAAGAAGACGCAGACAAGCCAGGAAGCCTCTGAGAACTCCCAGGAGAAAGAGGAGAGTAAAGGGGATGGCAAAGAACGAGTGAGTCTCATTTGACTGTCGGAATGGAGAATCAATGGGAATGGCAGGTTCAGGAGGTAGAAACCATACAAGAGATTCATAATGGATTTTACCTCGCCTGAATACCATTAGACAATACCTTTGTGTATGAGTATGAACAATAAACCTCGAAAGCAGCCACTTTTAGATCAATAGTGATTGTCAACTTAGTCAAAATTGTTGAACAACCAAAGTCAGAGATCCGGCCATTGCTCTGTATACATCTAAAAATAATAAAATTATCCTAGAGAACTTATACAATTTAATTAGCCTTATGACCTTTATAATAAGTAGATTTGATAGACATCATGCGCACAGTACGCTCAAGTTTCTTGTTTCGAAAACTCTAGCATGATGGATTCTCTTCCATGTAGACGCAGAGCAGCGATACAATTACAGGATTCACAGCTATGCAAACGTTTCTATCATATGCACATTCAAGCTTATCTCATCATCGCTGAAGCAGTGAATAAGAGCTTGAAAGCTATGAATATTTTCGTAATGCTTGGAGGAGTATTATTTGTTGGTGTGGTAGTATTCCGTATCTACACTTTATACCTTAGGATATAGACCTACCTAGGGGCTAGCCCTGGGTCATCTATATACCTTGTACTACCATAGATAGCTCTCTTTTCTCTCTTAGTTGTAATTATATAAAATCACCTTATTTATTGTTTCCAAGTACCATTCCACAGTACCTTCTATATTATTCCTTATAGGGGTGTTCACCTATTCACAGTAGCTTGCTCTCTAGTGCCAGATCTTTGAGAATGGTACATTGGTAGAGCTACAGTACCAATCTATCACACAAGCCGCAGTGTCGCCTATAAACACTCGTCAGGTAGCAACTTAGCAAGCCACTTACTTCCTTTACATTTTACAAAACAAGTTACTTTTTTACTGCTGATTGTCGGCGCGTCCTCTCTCTGTACTACCTCATGCAGCATCACTTATCATTTTTGCAACGAATTTTATATTTGAGAAAGTATTTTATTATCGCCGATGTTATTAAGATTACTTCTAAACGGTAACACAAACAGCCATAATTGCAGCCATAGCCAAAACTACAAATGAATGTGGCAATAAATTGCTACCAGCGCCAGTAGGGGTAGCACCTCCGGAAGAATTCTGCATTTTGAGTTAGCTGAGAAACAGATCCTTTCCATCTTTTACTTACAGTTGCTGAGCTTGTGCTCTGGGGACCTCGCGTGGACGTCACACCAGCAGAGGTAGACGTTGCAGTTGCCGAGCTGTTCGATCTGTTCGTGGAACCTGCTTCCACAGGTGCAGTCGCATTTGTCAAATTCGGCCGTCCTGACGGGCGAGGTGAAGATGCAGAGGGTGTTACTCCTCCAGTGGCCGGTATGGCATCAGGAATGTCTGGTTGTTTGCCAGAAAGTGGTGTTGTACTCAGGTCACCGCATGTGGTAGCCGCTCTGGTCAAGGTATTCCCGTACATATTCCAGATGTTAAAATTGTCAGGACCAGCACAAGCGAGGCAGTTCTCATAGTTGGTCTTGAAGGTGGGGTTGGTGCAATAGCCAGTACTTCTACTACCGATGATTGCTTGGCCTTGAAGTGGTTAGCAAACTTACAAGTGGTAGGAAGGTTTTACTTACCACAGGTGTCGTGGCATTTGTATGAGTTGGTGCCAGGCTCTTGACGCTTCAAAATTTGCAAATGCCACTCGTCATCGACAGTATTGGCATAGACAATTTGGAAAGCAGTAATTGCGATAGCTAGGTGCTGAAGTCGAACCATTTTGAGACTCTCCTGTTTCTGACTTTGTGTGTATATTCGGAGTTTGAAGAGCCTTTCAGGATCTTAGTAGTAGGCAAATATTACCAGAACAACTTGTAGCGACCGAAAATGGGTAAATTAAAGGGCAATCTTCTCATGTAAGCTGGAAATAAACTGGAAATAAGTACCCTTTGAAGTTTGCCAAGTATTTCTTACCTGTGAATGATGATCCGATATCGCGGATCATTGGATCTTTTAAATGGACATTGAGCCAGAATCAGCGGTTACGGATATGGGTGGCTGGCAACATGGGCATGTGGACGCAGCGTGACAACGGAAATCCTCCGAGCGGGATGTGCCCAGAAACAAAGTTTCGAGGCTGGGAAAGTCGGTACAGTATTGTAGTCTGAAAAGTTTGATCGCTCGATCTTTAGATGCGATTAGATAAAAATTTCCCGGTTGAACCCTATTAAAGGCGTAAGAGTTGACGTTGTGTTCGCTTTTCATCCCGGCAGTTGATCTCGTCCAATGAAAACACCTCGTCGCGCCGGAACTACGCATCTTGGCTCCTCAAAATCGGCCCATTCTCAAGGCACCTCTTTTACAGGGAATATAATCTTTTGATCTGATTAGATTAGATGTGCCAAGATCCAACCACGAGCGATATCCTTCCAAGAACCTTTGAGCGGCGGGGTAGTGGACTTTCAATATTCCGGAGAAAGCATTCAATTTCACATGATATCCTCAAAAACTTTACTCACTGTTTTTCACAACTGTTAAACTTTAGAGAATTACGGCGTGTACGAGATCTTTATTTCTCAGTGGCGGTGTCCAAACAGACAAAGCATCAATATCAGATATCATGTACTTTCACTTGAGGAGGTGGCAAGATATAGCAAGATTATACTGCTCTAACCGACTTGGCTCCCATGCATTGTGACTTGAATAGAGTCATCTGTGCTTTCAATACGGTCGACCGTTGGGTGCCAATGGTCGAAGAGATTTCAGAAAAGGTTAGCTCTGCGGGGTGGTAAACTCTTGGTAACCTTCACTACCTTATCATTCCCACGCTGTCAGACGTGAGATAAGAGGTGCGTCCTACAGCCATATTTATACAAATATTTGTGTTCATTACATCGGCATCTCATTTATGAAGTGTACCAGCAAACTATCCGTACTAGAAACTTCAAAACAGCCATCCAAAATGTTATCCAACATTCTTTCTGTTGCCGCTACTGCAGCACTCATCTCAGTGTCTGTGGCAGATTCGACTCCTCATGCTGCTGGTGCTCAAGGCTCTGTCATGGGACCAGTTGCATTCCTATGGCCTGCCGATCGTCCGTGGTCTGCGGATGCTGATAATACAGCGCCATGTGGAAGCAGTTCTGGGGTTGGAGCCAGAACCCAATTTCCTCTCGGTATATTTCACGTACTTTTGTCAAGAAAGACAGCAAAACTAATCCTGATCGTGCAGATAATGGAGCAGTCTCTCTCTCTATCGCAGAAGAGGCTTACCAAGTCGCCTTTCGCATCGCTTACAACAATGGTAAACCTACTTCGAGTCCTAACTTACATCCCAACTAATTCTATCTACAGATCCCTTGACCGCGAGCGCTTTCAGTGAACAAATTGTCCACACAGTCGAAGAAGTCGACCCAGGTCATCAATGCTACCGAGTCCCAAGCACTCCCATGAACATCACATCCGGTCAAAACGCAACCATCCAACTCGAATACTGGTCTTCATACCAGGAGGGATCTCGACAATCATTCTATGCCTGCGCTGATGTCGTAAGTAGCCTCATCATATTATTCAATCATCTCACTGACTGAAACAAACAGACCCTCGTCGATGCCTCTGCTTTCGTAGGCTCCATCCCATGCTTCAACGTCACATCTACCGATTTCGAGCCACCTGTATCTGCGACTAAAGAACATGGGCTTTCCACTAGGGCCAAGGCTGGTATTGCTGTTGGTTCTATTGTTGGGGGTTTGGGGTTGCTTGGGGCTATTGCCTTTGTGCTTTTCAGAAAGCGATCGAAGGCTAAGAGGGATCTCGAGGCTACGAATCAATTCTCTGTTGTTGAGAAGCAGAGGGCTGCTTCTATTGCTTCGGGAGAGACGCAGGTGGCAGCTTGATTGGCTGCAGGAAAGGAAAGATAGAGTATTAATAAGTGGAGGACTGGGATGGATGAAGGAAACCTGTGTGATGGTTGATAGTTGCTTACGATTTATGACGATTGGAACTTGACAATAACGCACTTTATGAAAATATCTTTCAAAACTTAATCCACACACGGGTCTCCTCGCCCCATATAGTTCCCTTCCCAGCGACTTGACGTAGAGTGTAAGATACAAATCCCTTCCCAAGAGACCTCTCCATTGCCCCATATACACCTTAAGAATCTCTTATACCAGAATTCCCGAACAAGTCAGCTCAACCGTCCCAAATCCCTTCTGGTAATCATCTATATAAATTCGAAATATCCCAAAATTGCTCATACAACCATTTTATCTAGCAAGGCTTTTGAAGTAATATAATCCTAATCTAAGTACAGTACATATAGAGTAACAGCCACACCCCCTACTCAAATAATACATTCTATTACTTCCAATTACCTTAAAAGTGCTGCTACCTAAAAGCGTTGGTCGTGACTTTCCAGGCCAATACCTAATAAATTACCAGAAATATTAAATCCTTATTCTCCCCAACAATAACATGGCGCCAAACACGAAGAACAGAGCGTCGGTACCATTATCTCCTGGTTCTAACACGTGTTTCCTTGTCTCTTGTAAGGCACGTAGGTTATTCCATCCCTGGGTCTTGTATATTTTAATCCTAATTGACAGTTTATGAACAATCACAAGTGCCAGCTCTAAATATACTTGTTGCATATTGAAAAACCGACCAAGAGTTTGAGTCCGATCACGTGACAAGCTACCTTCATTTACACCACGTCCCAAGTACACGAATAAATCATACATATTTGTATATTTATATATTTATATATCAACTATTATCAATTCCTAGCTCCATCCGGGGTATCTAATCGCTCTCAATCTTTCTCTCTTTCATTCCTTCAATACACACAAAGCCCAAAATGAAAAAAAAAAGGAAAATCTATCGCTATCATATCCATAACTCATCTTCCATAACGTAACATTGTCTCTTCAAACCAACCAGACCAACCAGCCAAACTCTCCTCCCAACTGGCTCTTCCCCATATAGATATATTAAAATAACAAGCAAGCAATAACCAGATCGCCAAAAAAGAAAAGATGTGTTTTTCAGGCTCGCGCCATGAAAGTATAGATAAGAACGAAATGAAAGGAAAAGAAAAAACAGATAACGAAAGAAAGCTCCTCGCTATGCACGCTCGTAAGAACAACAAACGCGAAAAGGCAAAACGGGAAAGCAAATAAACCAAAGAGAAAACTCGAGAGAGAAGGGAGGCGAGGAGGGTTACACACTAGCGCCTCTTCTCCTCACCCCATCCGGCTTCTGCGCATGCGCAACCACAAGTTTAAAACTACTTCCCCATTTCTCGCACTCCTCCAGCAGAGCCTCATCACCAAACACGCCTTTCCACTCTTTTCCCTCCACCTCATAACATCTTCCCCACCACCATCGTCCAACCTTAGCAACCATCTTAGTGATCCCCTCATCACCAACCTGACTCTCATCCCTCATCATATCCTGCAAACTCATCTCCTTTCTCTTTCCCCTACTCTCCCTTTTCGTACCCGGGATAGTAGAAGCTACTGGCACCCCCACATTACAACTCTTCACGTCCACAAAACCTTTCTTGCCTATCAACCGAAGAACAGTATCGCTTGCACTGGATAGGTTTATCGCCGGGTTGTTGATTTGCATCTGAACCTTTAATCCCCTGACGGCGCGTCTTGCTCGATTGCCCATGTTAAGCATATCGAGGTCGAGGATGGCGGTTTCGAGGTAGCCACCGGGTTTGAGGACTCGTTTTGATTCGGAGATTAGGTTGCGGTATGAGGACTCTGGCATAGCGGCTGGAAATCGGAGGACAACGACGTGGAAATATTGCGACGGGAAGGGGTATTTGGTTGTGGGGTTTGACACGGGGTATTGGATTTGTCGATGGTTTGGAGGTGTGGAAGGAAATGAAGAGGATGAGGAGCGGTGGGTGGAGGGAGAGGAGGGAGAGAGGTTGTAGAAGGTGCAAGAGGGGTAGGTTTCAGCTGCATAGAAGGACCAGTCGTCTGGATGTATGTTAGTGTGTACTAAGGGGGAAGGAGCGGAGGACTGACCATTACCAAGTCCATCAATAACAAGGATGGAGTGGCGTTTGGATCCTTCGTTCTGCATTATTTCCTCTCTCGCAGGACTAAAGAGGACATGGCCAAATGTGAGCCATTTACTTACAGTCATTGACCCGATGCGGAGGTTGACTTGTGAAATTGGAGAGTTACTGTCGTCTGAGATTCGCTTGATGGAATTTGAAGATGCGATTGACCTCCTTGAGCTACTCTGGGAAGCACGAGATGAATCCTCACTGACGGAATTGTTTCGATCTCCATACCCGGAAATGAAGTCCCCAAAAGACATGGCACTAGTTGGAGTGGGACTGGTATCAACAGGGGCGGTTGGAATTGCCGTGCCTACCTCAACGCTATACACACTAGATGTCGTGTACTCTGAGCGGCGTGTGATATCCTTTGGTGGATTGTGGGAAGGCGGCTGGGTTGTGAGAGTTGATGACCCTTTCGCTTGCATCCTACTCCTTCTCATGCGGCGACTCTCATAGCTCTCGTATTGAAAGGGTACTCCACACGAAGAGGTTGTAGAGACTGGTCTGTCATTCTCGATCAAGTCATCAAACTCGTCCCAAATTTCATCTTCCTCCAATTCAGCTCCAACCTCGGGGACAACAGCTGTGGTACCAGCAAAACTCATTCCGCTGGAGCTGATCGTAGTAGTCCCTGAGTCTTTGCGCTCTGGTGAGAATCTGATGAAATCCTGGTCATTGTTCTGATCCGTCTCGACCGTAGAGTCACCAGAGTTGTGGTGGTAGCTTCCCGATTGTGAATTGGATTTTCGATCGGCTCCAGATTGCATTTCGGATGTGGATGGTGTTGGGCTTGGGCCAACCGCAATTGACTGTACATCGAGGACTTCTGGTTTGGGAACTGGCTGATTTGTGCTAAGTCGTGCAAAAGGCCTCGAAAAAGACTTGGGAGAAGTTGCTTGGGGTCTTGCAGAAATTACCTTTGGAATCCGACCAACTTGAGCTAGTCGACTTGGTCGTCCTAAAGCTGGCGGAGTAATATCGCTGCTGGGTTGAAACTCGGATTGTGCTAATTCTGGGGTGGTTTGCATTGGTTCTGGCGAAGAGTGCATAGGTGGTGGTGCGATCTCTTCAGCCTTCTCAACCTCTTCGACCTTCTCAGGTGGTGGCGGACTGACTCCTAGTATGGACTGGAGATCCTCAATACGCCTCAAATTGTCTTTGTAATTATCAAATTGAACAGCTTCCAGTTCTTCATTTGAGATGTTGAAAACATCAGCATCCTTCACAACATTGGCAGCATCCCTCAAAATGTCTTCAAGGTCCACGGCATCGACTTCTTGTTGCTCGTCCGAATCAATCAGTGCATAATGAGGAACCGCAGCAGGTTTTTTGGCCGATGGTATTTCCACCGCAACTGGCACCACTGATTCTTCACCCTTGGATTTGGAATTACTAGGTTGAGAGCGGTGGAAGAAGTTCCATTTTCTTGGAGATTTCGCTCGCTTTTCCAATTTCTTTGGCTTCTTCGCGTCCTTCTTTTCTTCCTTGCGTCCTCTGATGAGCACTGGCTTAGATTCAATACGGGAATCATCAGACATAATGCTAGGGTCGAGGCTGGTCATGGCAGGTGATACCCCACGAGAAGGAATCTTGAGAGGCCGAGGAAGATTCAATGCGTTCTCGGAAACGTTGAGCCGAAGAAGTGATCGACGAAAAGCAAGACTCGGTTTAGTAACAGCATCATCACTACTATCCGAGGGGCGACGGCCTTTTGACATCGCAAGTTGTGTGTTTCTCTTCACTGGTTGCTCCTTGGAAAGGGCCGATGGCCAAAGGGTAGCACGAGCTGCTTCTTGCCCCAAGCTGGACTTTGACGAGCCCCTGGAGTCAAGACTAGGTCGACCGAGTAGCAGGCTTGTGTTGCTCTCACTGCGGCTGAGCTCGGAACTTTCATTCTGGTTCTCTTTAATTTCCCCGCCACCCGCAATGATGACAGGGCTCATTCGTTGCAATAAAAATGGGTCGGTTGCATGGTTGCTTCCAACACTATCCCGAGAAGAACCGGTCCTGCTCTGACTTCTATCTCTGGCCACCATTCCGACCCCAGTACTACTACTTCTTCCTCGAAGTGCATATCTTCCGTAACCTTCATGTCCAGTGCCAGCTGCAGGGCCCTTTCTCGGCTCTTTATTTCGAACTTCCGAGGTGGTGATCTCGGGAGTTGTCCTCGTCCTTCTGGTGAATAGACCGAATCTAGGTTTCGATGTTGGTATGCTTGGACTCGGTGTGCGTGTTCTGGTACCTCTAGTCGAAGGCTGCTCCCGCGGTCTCAGATCCGGAACTATTCCGAGCCCAGTTGGTGCTGGTGTTGCCTCGCGTGGAGATGTTAATACTGGGCTAGGCGATGGATTTCTGGATGGTAAGCGAGAACCTTGAGATGGTCTCATCACTGGCTGGGTTTGCAGTGGTGACGTGACGTGTCGCTGGAGAAGACTCCGCCGACGCTCCTGGGGAGACGGAATGCCGGCAAGATTGCTTTGTATTACTGTCATTGACTCTCCAAGTTGTGTTTGCAAATCAGGGGCACCTTCTCGGCTAGGCCGCGCAGGTGGATTTTGTTTCGAGGGAGATGTTACTGGCGTCCTTCGAGCGAATGAGGAAGATTCAGAGAACGCTGTCAAGATTGGCTTGGCAGGAGGCTGGGCTGATTTCGTCGGGGTCCCTCGCGGACTCTCGCTTGCTTTGTGTGATGACTTTCGTGGAGGAGGGCTGGGAGGTAAAGTTGGCATTCGCTTCTTTTTCTTTTCGATACCCTTACTATCCCCTTTCACGGTTGAATTTGAGGACGAAGAATTGGTAGATTCTCGCAATGTTGGAAGTGTTTCTACAACAGGCTCCTCGTGCTCTTGAGGAAAACTCCCATCCCTTCTTCCGGTAAGCGGGGGGCGACTGTTTACTGCTGGACTACCTTGCCGTAATCTGGGTGGTATCAATTTCATTGGCGCAACAATCCCAGGTGATGATGACATTGAGGTTGGTGTGGTGTCTCTACTGTAGGTTCCGATTCCTGGAGATTCCGAAAATCTAGTAGATGGACTGGCACTGTATCCACTACCACTATATCGACTATTGGTACTGCTCATACCGGAGTATCCAGGAGTGCCTGACAAAAGTGGCGTAGGAGGAGGAAGATCCTGAGTTGAAAGCTTATGTGGGATTTCGGCATTTGACCTGACCTTGGAAAAAGTAGCCTGCTCGGGTCTAGCTCGATATCTGTCCAGTTCCGGTATGATGCGGGGCGACTCTTTAGCTATTGGTGTCCTCGTTCGACTGGGTCTGGTATATATTTCATTATACGCATCCGTGGATCTGCTTGTCTCTAAACTTGGTCGTCGTTGCGAAGAACCATATATTTGTTTCCCGGGAGTTGCAGATGTTGACCTCTCGATATCAGGCCTAACTTCATTGTCTTGTTGAGATTGGGAAATTGAGGATTGCTTCCTCCTCAGAACATTACGTGATGGCTTCCCCTTCAACTCCGCTGCCTCAGTGGTTGAGATTTTGCTAGATGGCTTCCCAAAGCTGAATCCAGATACAGGCCCTTTCTCCTTGACCTCTTGTTTGGACGTCGAATTTTGGGGCAATGCAGTTGCTCTTGTTTGGTCATTGCTCGGGGTAGGTGTTGTTCGTCTGGTCGATCGGTCTAACATCTGTGGGTTCGTTTTTTGTTCCATTTTGGATACAGCAATGTACGTCCCCAATCTTCTACCTCTTGTAGACTCCATTGGCCTATTGGGCGGATCAAAATCTGATTTGTAGGCTGCCATCGCGTTCTCTCTATCTCAACATTAGTGCAATGGCGAAGTTTTGATTCTTCTTGTGTTGAATTCCAAATGTTACGAGAATTGACGGTACAGGGTGTTCTCCATCCCTTGGATATGTTGTGCGATACCAATTGCTGAAAATGTTATCAAATATAGCTAACACGTTCCATCAGTAGGCTACAGGTGGTCGCGTCGCGATGATCACTTACACGTAATTAATCTGAAGGAGACCCGGAACTTGGTGTCCGTGAGGACGGTAGCTCTAAATGGAAAAGAAAACTTCCAACAAAATAATGCTTCAGGTATACGTCGTATCGAAAGACGGTATGCAGGAACGAATATTAGATGTGGTGTCACCCAATATACCTCGGACTTAATGCTGCAACTCTCGTCTGGGGAACAACGCAAATAGGCTGGAACAAGTGCACCTCCTGGGTATATGAGATGTCGATATGAAAATTCAACGCAAATAACAACAACGATTAATAGCTCAACAATAGATAGAAAAGGGCAAACAACAATAAAAAGTGAGGGGGAGGTTGAAAGGTGTGGGAGGTGGAAGTTTAAGGGTAGGCTGTGACCGGGATCGGCCTGATGGAGGGGGTCCCGTTCGTTCTTCTATGTGGGGAGTAACCGTTGGGAGCGTGTTAGGAACCCGGAGACGAGTTTTTCGATGGAGATACCGCCCTGATGCGAGCCGCTGAGAATTTTTAGCGGTAGTGTAAAGGGTAGTGTAAGCGGTGTTAGTGGAGTACAGGCTTGTACAAGTGGTGGAGTCGGGCAAGAGGGTGTAGCTGCTTGCGTGGTAACTCGGTGCTGACGGCAGGGGGGGCAATAGAGATATGAGGCAAGTCGTCTAGCAGAACGGTAGATTGGGTCGATGGCAATGAGAAGAGAGAAATTGAGGCGTTTTGGGGATACCACCATACTCAAGTACCGCAACTAAGCAGTCAGTGGCAGTGGGCTCTCACAGACTCACGGGCTTGTATTGCTTGTGGCGTTGAAGCCCCGTTTGTTGGCGGTCATCGCGAGGTCCGCCACAACGTGCATCACTGGTGCTCTCCAAGGTGGCCCAAGGAAACTCCCAGGCCCATGTCACCCAGTCAGCGGGCTATCATTTGTCCAGATACGTTCACTGGATGTCGAGCGTAGAAGGTAAAAGATACCTCGTCTGTTGACCGCATGGCAATGACCAGGGGACGTCGTCGAGGACTTCCGGAACAGAGCTGCTGCGGCGAGTTGAGAGTGGAGCAACGCAACGTCGTTATACAATACGCTCCTGTCCTCTGCAGCTCGCATGTATAATATGTGATTGAAACCTATAACACCGAATCCACGCAAGCATACGTTCAGATATGCATATAAGATGAAGGATCATGGATTGAGGCCGACGTTGGGACGAAGCCGTAGGCAGAAGAAATGCTGCAAATCTTTTGCGATAGGTCGAAAAGTAGCGAGTGAAAAGAAAATCCGTCAACTCCCTGGTCACACTGTAGACGCCGGCTGTCTCATTCGTCGGCTAAGCATTTCACCTGCAGCCGTTAACACCAGTGGCACCAGTGGATAGGTTTGGGAAAAGAGCCCATATTGAGCCATATTGAATGAAACCTAGAGTTCCAATCCCCAAATTGCGGGACTTACCCTCCACTCCTCAACCGCGAGTAACTGCTGACTATACGCCCACTAAGACGGGAAATTGTGGTCTGGTCAGCCTCAAGTGTGAGCGTGATGTTCGATGCCGCACATATGGCGCTTATCGCAGAATCCACAATCCACAATTCCTATTTTCAGAAGGATCTCCTTCTCCATAGTGGGGTAGTTGCGGCACTGGCAGCGCTGCTGCGGTTGAAGCCAACCCAACCATTGTGAATTATGACCAAGTCGGAGATCAATAATCAGTCAGTCATTCATACATCAACCCTTACACCGATCCCGATCTGCGAGTGAGAGATACTTCTCCCAACTTTGAACCGCAGCGTCATGTACATATTGGTTATGATGGCCAACCTTCGCTCTGCCCGGCGGTCACTGTAAAGGTCACGACGTGCATAGTCAGCCCCCCAGCCACAGCCTCAAGTCACGATTCCTCTCCAGCGAGAATGCCTTTCAATCTGGCCTACCGATGGCTTGTCATGTTGGAAACGACATGTAATTGGGTAGGAGGTTGAAGAAATGCGGGAACAGCCATCGTCTATTTTCTCACGGTTCGTCTCGTATCTTCAGGGTCAAGGCCGCTCGCTATCTACTCCCGCAATTACCCATAGCCTCAGCGGCCACAGCCGTTCACGAACCAACAGCTTATTCACACGCCGGCGGTCCTCAAAGATTGTTGTCCCATAAACAAGCGTTTTGACACTCGGGAGGATTTTCGAAAAAGATTGGCCGTGACCTTGAACTAAAGATCTGTGTTGCCTCATTGGTGATCCCTTGGATTTATTCAGCCAATAGAGCTTCAGATATCGGTTCCCGGCGGCTCGTTGGTGCGCCAAGTCGAAAAAAATACCCCTGGACATCTTCCCACTAACCGGCGAAAAGATTCTCATATTTCCGTTTGCAACCACGACCACCACTCATGAAGCTGTCCATGGAAAAGGTCAAGAGTTAATATTGGATATAGAGATAAGTATCCCCCGAAAATGCGACAAACAATATGTTGTGGACTCGACTGTTCTTCGTAACGAGGACGGCCCGATGCCAAATAATGGAAACTCACAATTCAGCTTGTATCTTGACTACTATCTTTGACACATAGTAACGTCGATTTGACTTTTCCTTTGTTTGAACCTGCATTTTTGCCCAAACAAGTCAATGGTATCTCTTCTAGATAATGGTTGGCGAGTTTTCCAAGGAGTCCGGCCAAGTCGAGTTTCCAATTCCTCATCCCACCAACAGAAAACCCTACAAAAGAATCAAATCAATCCACAGACCCAACATTGACTCACCATGTACAGATTTACAGTACGCCTCACTTCCAACCAACATCCGAGGTATCTGAGTACCTAGGTATACTTTTCAAAACCAAAATCACGTTTCCACATCCCAACACAGCTGAACAAGCGCGCTTCTGTGCTTCGCCACAATGCGCTGGCAACACAAAAAGGCGGCAAATTCGTGGCGTATGCAATGCACTCGCCACAGTCCAAGTTTTCCATCTTTTCCCATCTCCTTCATTATCATGCGCTGGCAGGCAAAAAGCGAAAAGTACCGACTGTTCATACCAGTATAATTCTCGACAGTAACTCCATGCGGTTATCCCGGTACAAACCAATGTGATAGATCTGAAAAAGCCTAGCGTTTGCAACCGGGGAATTTCTTAGCCCGTGCTCCATTCTTCATCGAGCAAGGTTGTATAGCATCTGATTGGTGGGTGGGTCTTGGGAGTGTGTTTAGCTTTGGGAACGTTCAGAATCACGTTATGAGAAGAGGGTGTGCTGAATCCTTGTGCAAACCGACCCTTCTTTAGGTGTTGTATGGAATGACAGAAAACCGGTATCTTTTCTTCTTGGAAAGCGGTTCTCTGATGGGAAGGGAATTTCCATGGGTTATTTACGGTACAGTCCGTTTTGAAAGGTGTCCTCCGTCAGCACTCAATCTGTTTGAACCTATTAAGTCAGCAGAAGTTGTCATTGAAAGCCCATTCGTTGCGTTGTTCTCGTTTGGTATCAGACATGTTTCCCGAAAAATAGGGGTACTGGGGTACTTTGAAGAATGGTGAATACCCAGTGAATCGGAATGGGATCGGAATGAAATCGGAATGGAGTCTTAGATGACAGGTCCCGCACTTGTGGAATCCAGCAAGCCTATCAAGTCCTCGAGATCTAGCTCTTCATCTTCATTCGTTTCCTCGAGCTAACACAAAACCGTTCAGGATTCACCCTACCCGTCACGGATAACCTCCTTTCTATAGTTCGAATGATGGGCGTCGCAAAATCTATTTCGAAGGCGTGACCTTGGACTTGAGCTGTCGAAAAGGGGTTTGAGGCACCGCATTCAGGTGACCCATCTCACGCCTTACTCCCCAATCCAGCTCGATATAAGTTGCTTTTGTGTATCAGGGCTTCCAATTGGGAAAGATTTGCAGATGAACACGAGGAACTGGATAACGACAGATATCGGGAAAGTTGTATTGCAAGACAGGCGAGCTTCGGAAACGCCATTAACTTCCTTTCATTGGCACCAGCTGCTCTCTCAATTATTCTTTTCTAGTGTACATCGAAGCTAATGATATCCCCTTTCAGTCAAAAGGCTTTGGGGCATTCCCGTATTGGTGCAGAATATTGTAATGATCCATCATTCGTTATCCTCTCAAGCAGCAGACTGGAACCTCTTTGCTCGTACCTCCGCCTTTGCCTTCTCAGTAGGATCGTCAACAACTCGTCGTCCAGCTGGCTTTGGCGCCGCCGCAGGCTTAGGCGCAGGTCCTGTCCTTCTATCAGGAGTTTGTCTCTTCGCATTTCTGCCACCTTGTTTATCCTCCTGTCCTCTCTTTGCTCTTCGTTCCGGTAATGCAGCATCCAGTCCTTTCACGACCTCTTCCTTAGCCTCGATACCAAACTTCTTAGCGCGCTCTGCAAGTTTCTTTGCCTCATCATCCTCAGAAATACCAAATCTCTTCGCTCTAGCTGCGCGCTTCTCTGCTTCCTTTTCCGCATCCGATTGCTTAATACCAGCTGTGAAATCTACTTTCGGTGCTTCGGGTTCGGTGGCCTTCGCAGGAGTTGGCGCAGCGTCGCTGGTTGTGGGTGCCGTCGTCTCGGTGGTCGTTTTCGCTTCTCCCTCGGCAACAACCTTCAAATCTTTCGTCGTGGATGGGTCGGTATCAACTTTCTGGTTTGGAACTGCGGTAGGGTTCGCGACTGGTCCTTTTCCACCGGCTGCTTCTACTGCTGGCGCTGGCGCAGGAGCGGTTGTAGTCTTGGTATCATCCTCGTCCCAATCAATCTCGTCCTCACCTCCAGCTGCAATTGATTCGTATTAGTATGCGCGCGCAAAAAGCGATCGATAACAAAGAGCATTGACGTGGTTGCGCTTACCTGTACCACTGGCTGCTTTCTTGTCATGCTCTTGAAGTCGGGCTATGAGATCTGCCTTGTTTCCAGAGACGACGAGGCCGCGCTCTTGGAGAATCTTCTTTAGGTCTGGGACCTTGAGAGCGTTGTAGTCTGTCATTGTAATTGTGGATGGTGTAATTTAAGGTGTATTTGCACAAAAATTGGATGCGCTGAGTTGGATGGTTCTGTTGACGGTGAGGTTGTGATGGTTGACGGGAATTCCTGACGCGGGTGGACGTGCTTAAGAGATTTGTGGGGCCGCATCATCAGCCACGCTAAGCCCCTATTCTATTGTCATTCACCCAGTCGAAGTCTCCCTACGGACGTATTGTACAACGCATCATGTCTATCTACTGTGTTTCAATACAATATATCGTACCATTCCACGCACCTCAAATATTCGAATGCTAAGAAATTCGATTGAAATAAATTCAGATGAACCTTATCTTAGTCAAGTAGTGAATGAAATATCTATAAACTGCTAATAAGCATAGCACTTGATTAGAGCTACTATTCGTTGAAGTTCCTGATCGCTTGACTCAAGTCCTCGGGATATCACATAGGTTGATTTCTTGAAACAGAACATGAGCTTTGTCTAGCCAAACCTGTTTGCATTGACATAGCCATCAGGTTGTGGAAGTGTTTAACTTGAATTCTGTAGAAAATGCAAATTAGCCCATATCTATTAAATCAAGGACTGCTCAGTTTACTGGAGTTTCTGGGAGGGTTTTTATGATAGACACTGAGAGTCTGAGATTAGCTTTGTCTGTCTCCTGGTAACAACAGAAGTGGCAGACACCCCTTTCTATTAGCGTAACTTATCACAGACTATTATTTTATTCTAAATTTTTAGATTGATCAAATCAAACTAGAAGTCCTAGAAATCCAAGTGTTTGTCTCGCGATAGAGTATTTAAAAGCTTTTAGACAAATTATGCTAAGAGAAAGAGAATAGATAGATTTCTAGCATTTTTCTCGTCTACTATGAAACCATTTCCATGATAATCTTCTACTCTTGAAATCAAAATAGATTTGTAGCATATATTTTAGATAAAGGCTTCATGATAATAGATTACCACGGCAACAGTTCTTTGTTCTTACCCAGATTTATATGAGGAAGGCTTGTTACATTATGCATATATCTTTTCAATTTCACATACGGCCCAACCTCTCCCATGCTCTCTTGAGTCTCGATGTCCTGAGGTCGGTAAGAAGCGGATCATACTACTAGTAAAGGTTCTAATGAAAATGTTCTTCTGTTACTGTCAAAAATTCTCTTGCTGTCGATCTACTTTGTTCCTTATTCTACATATTAGGCCAAAGAGTTTGAGTACAGATATGGAAACAATTAAGTGAAACTTTTTTGAGTTTACGGTCAATTATTTTCACCATTTGAAAGATTGGGATAGTTATATCCACTTCGCAGCCTCCAAGAACCTCATCTGATTTTCCGAGGGTTTTGGAGCTTCAACGCCTCAGGACATTGTCCAAGTTAGGAAGGAGCGAAGTTGCACACCTTTATTGAGTCCACTTAGACCTCACATTTCAACCTTCACATGCTTGGAAATCTTTTTGAGCTAGATTGATGAGAAATTAGTGGCTCAACCTATGTATGAGCCACTTGAGCAAATAATCGAAAGTTTTCGTAGAATTTATAACGATGCAAAGTAAGAAACCTGGTCATTGCTTTGTACACACCTCTCTTAGAATAAAGATATTCTAAAACGTCGTACAACTAAAATAGTAATATAGAGAACTTAGAATAACTGTTAACTCTTACTATTCACTGGCTTAGGTATCCTAAGACAATTGTTTTGCTTGTACTACAAGTTTAGTATAATAACTTTTTATATAGTGTGTACAGAGTAACGACCAGGTATCTTACAAAGAGCGCTATCTTATAATATCCAGTCGAGATGCTCTTTCTTCAAATCAATTTTGACCTCGTAGGAAGGTAGTAAGAACATGGATCCTGCCACAATTCGACCAGGACGTGCCTTCCAAACTTCTTGGATGCAACTTTCGTGCCACGCAGTCTTCTGCTGCTAACTTGCATCTATTTCGTCCCATCCTCGATTGCCTTCCAGATTTCAAGTGGCTAGAATCGTTTTCCGAACTCTTTTCATCCTTATTCCTTGATTCTTTAGGGTGAATCATGTTTACTGCATCACAGGTACCCCTTCCTGATGCCCTAGACCCCATGTATTGGGATCTGGGTGATCTTTCGGCACAAGATTCTGACTTGATACCCTCTCTGGGAGATCCTTCTGGTGCTTCTTCTGTAACAACACCACCGCCTGAAAGCAAAGCGCCTTTATCCGACCCGAAGACAGATTTGCTACGTGAAAGTCAGAATCGAAACCTTCACCCATATGATAATCTGTATACTTTCAACAGCACCACTTCCTCTGCGTGTTGGTATTTGAAAAGTACAAAAAAAGGCAGGGCGCAGGTTTTTGATCACTTCCTGCAAATGGTGGAAAACCTGCGAGCAAGCAAACATCACCAAAGTCACGGGTATTTCGTGGAGCAAAAAGAAAGAGGACCGACAGCGACGTTAGTGACACCTGATCTCAATTGATAATCCAAGCTAAAATGGGCTGGCGCAGCTTACCAATTTCAACCACAAAGTCCCTTGTAGATCGTCGAGCATGGGATTTAGCCAATGTTTTCAGCGGCTACACCTCTGTCATTCACCGTAAAGTCACAGACGGTATTTACTGCATCGAATGGAAGAACGTTATTCCTCGTCAAGAAATCTCAATCTGTGAGATAATGCACTGCGATCCTTTGGAGTCCCTCTTGGATTGCCTCCCGTCATATTTCTGGCGACAACCCTTGGGAATAATATTCGATGAGCCCACTTTTCAAGAACATTCAATTACTGTCTCAAAAAACTCGAAATTGGAAAACATCTTGGAGATGCTAGAATCCAATCAGCCGCTCGGAAATGTATTCTTTTACGGCCAGGCTAGTGAGTGAGAATTGAACATGGTTGTAAATTTTCTCACACTGGCGCAGGAAAATGTCGGGTGGACATCCGTCGAGCTCTTGGACTTACAGATTTAGTTTCCGCAGTTATGTATATCTTTTTTCAAGGAAGTAACGGGTTTGAGGAACACTTCCAATTCGGCAAATACTACCAGAGTATGCCGGCTTCAAGGCAATGTCTTCTTAGGAGATTGTGTTCCTCGCTGGGAATTCATTCGCGGGACTCTGACCTTACCTTCGAGCAGCGAGGAAGACTCTCCGCTGGTGCTTTGCACGGTAAATGCTTATGCGGACACATATTTATTACTTACCCTGGCCATCTCTTCAAGGTTCAAATAACGTCCTACCGTCTTCATAGAGTGATTTATCACCTCCATGGGGCGGGCACCCATGAATTGGATCATCGTACCTTTTTCCGAGAAGACTAAATTCGAGAGATTTCTGGGAGATGAAATACCGGAACGGAAAGCCCAAACACCAACGTGCTCGCAGCGTGTTAATCATCTCAACTGCTGGATTGACCCTGCCAAATTACGGTCATGGAATGTCAAACATTTTGAAGTCAAACCACAAAAGGATTAAGCTTTGCTTCTATTTACGGACACCTACTATTGGGCTTTGGGCGAAGGATACTCAATAATCGAATCTGCCTACCACTTGGGTGAAGACTGGAGCCTAGGGAAGACCGAATACGGGGCCAACTATACGGAATGTGAGTTTCCTGGCAGTAACGGAGAAGGGTACTCAGAAAAGATTTGCAAGTTCCACCAAGTTCCACCCCTGGTCGAGAACAACCTTTGGCTCCCAAGAGAAGCCTCCATTTGTGCCAGACGACTACTTCGCTCATTCGAATGGGTGGAAGACAGGGGACATAAACGTGTCAGGGTCGACAATAAAAACCTTCAACTCGCAGGAAAGATCCCCAATAGTGGCGGCCGAGGCAGCAAAATAGTCTGAGTTTGGTGGCTTAGACGCAGAAGGAGGAACGGCCAATAACCATTACGAGTATCCTGGAAATCAACTCCCAAATACGTGGATTTCAGGAGACATGAACAAATCAGACTCGACGGGAGAAGGCTTCAATTTGCTTGAAGGACTTCCATCTTTCTTGGGTGAGACATCAAATCAAACTGATTCTATTGAGTTGAGTGTAGAGGACGCAATTGAAAATTACTCCAAGGCTTGGGTACATGCGTTGATGGTAGGGGACCTCAACTTGTATATGATCCTGTAATAGTCGAGGGCAAAGGTATACATTATCTGTGTAAAGGATCGACAAAGAGGAACTGATGGGGGGGACCGCCCAATCATTGGGCACCACCAAAAGCGTATTTGTCGATTCTGGTTGAGGAAAACAGGATAGTTGAGACGTAGAACTGTCAATGAATTACCCACTTAGAAAACACCTGTCTTTTAATGAAAACTGCTTGACAGCTTTTCTTTTACTTGTGCCAATGTTATGCTGCTAGGGCATCCTAAACCCATGCCTTATTTGTTCGATCTCTTTGCCTCATTTCCCTCCAATACCATTCTTAAATAGATGTATTAGAAATTCGACTACTAGAATAATGTCCGTCTAAAGGATGTTTGTTTGGATCGATTTGTTTTTGGCTCATAAGTAATAAGATCGGTCAAATGCTGTTTAGCTGATACCTTCAAACATTATGACGTGATTTCTCAACATTAACGAAATCTACATGGATATCTCTATGATTGTTGAATAGTATGAGAAAATTGATAGAGAAATATTATAAGATTGTTGGGGTGTTAGTATAGTTGGTTGACTCTAAAATCAGTAAACAAAATACGCTATCTCTTCTAAAGTTTACGTTTCACCAATCCTTTTACCACCACTTCTCGAACAAAACATTCGTCTCTTTCATTCCCTCCGCATTTCTGACAATCTCAATAAACTCATCCGTCATGCGCGGTACCCCACAAATAACACACACAACCTCGTTTCTTTCTGATACTGGCCCCAAAGCCTGGAGTAAATCATCCTTATTAATCCTTCGTCGTTGGATATCCAGCTTCGTCCCATCTGCTCCCATCGTACTCTCAAGCTCACCACCTCCAATTTTGCGGTTCTCTCCCGACGTAAGATATAGCTGCAACTCTGCACGTGGACCAATACTTTTAATTTCCCTCTGAATGCGTTCCAAGAATTGAATCTTTGATAAATCCCCTGATGGTGTACATCGAACCGTGTACAGGAACCTTATCTCAAAATCTTGGTCCTCTCCTGCTTTGACAAGTGACGCGATGTGGCTTAACATGCTCATCAGGGGGTTAACACCTACACCGCCAGCGACGAAAACGAGCCTTCGTATAGGTCGTTTGGGAGAGGGCGGATAGATGAAAGATCCTCCGACTCGAATGAGCAATTCTGATGCGATAAGCTTGGGAGTATCTTGGAAGAGGTAGCTTGCTGGGGGATTTGACGGCGACTTTTGGATTGCGAGTTCGAGGTACGGTTTCTTTGGGGAATCTGGTGGGGGATGGAGAGCGGAGGGTGGTGAAGTTATTGTGAAGCCGCCCGGACGTTCGGGGTATGGAGGTGTGAAAACGTCTAGCCATTGACCAGGGAGGAACTTTCAGGGTTAGTTTCTAAGCGAGCGAGATATGGAGGAGGCATGGGAGGAGGTGAAGCACGTGATGATCGAAGAAACGTGATTCATTGGGAAATGCATTTCCGTGACGAGGAATTCTCATTCAAAATACTTTGTTGTGCAATTTCCGCCGTTATAATGATGTTAGAGAGGACTTGAAAAAGAAGTGAATCCAAGAAGATAATCGGAGCATGCACATACTGCAAAATCTGTTGAGCCATCCTGGGTAGCTGCCTCCAATTCGAAGATTCGGATGGTATCGTTGATATCTTGAATTCTTGATATAGTTAAAGAATGACACTTCTGCACAGATCATAAGTGATGGATAGATGATGTCACCAATGTGGATAACTTACATTTTCTCGAGGTTCATCTGCAGTCCGTTCCGCATGTGGGATAGAAGCTGAGAAGCCCTCGCCGGGCTGTTTACCCTTACCTGAGGAGCTCATTCTGAAGGAGTGAATGGTGAAGGTCTTGTTTACAGGACGATATGGCTGGGATGAGTGAGATCTAGGAAGAAATGTATAAAAGTTGCTTCTGTGGTAGAGGCACCTGGTTGAGTTTGAGTATAGGGTAAAAGGGATTTTCTTTCTCAAGATGGTAGAATTTAGTTTCTGCATTATTTGCTTCCTGTCCGTGGTAGATGACAAGAGGACGAATGTGGCTCAAAACGTGATATCGATGTCGTTCACGAATCACGTGGCAATCATAGCAACATCATTTGCAATTGACAAATTGTTGTTACCCTCAATCTAGCATCTTACTAATGATCTAAGAAGCTCTTTCTTGATGAGAAAGAATCTGTATATGGAGTGATTACTCCAGGTTGCGTGAGAATCTATAGTCACGTGATGCATAACATCGAGCCCCTCCGCCCAGTTCAAAAATGGAAGTATACATCATACTCCGCATTTTTAGAGCTCTCTTTCCCCGAGTGAAATCTAGCCTACTCTTTCCTTCAATTTCATCAGATATTTGTACATTTGAAGCTTTAGTGGAAAGGAGGCGATGTTGTGGTAGCGATTATTACTATTGCGAGCGAAGAAAAGCTTCCTGGTTGATGGAATGATTTGGTTCATTGAGTAGCTGTTATTTATATCGACCTGTAGAGTTACCATATATTGCGCCTATATTTGCTTGCCCCAAGTCACAAATGAATCATGACCTCAATATCATGCGAGGGCTTCTCCCAGTCTCAAAGCCAAATTCAAATGTACAGTTCCTCATTTTTTTTGCTCCTACAATATCCAAAATTCAGAAGATGACTCAGTGCACTAGATTCTCAAAAGCACTTGTTTCAATCATGGTCGAATCACCGGTGTTGCTGTTAAGCTTGAGAACCTATATAATGCTGTCCGACGACTTCGCTTAGGTATACCACGAGAAACCTACGAGTTGTATTGAGCAACGTGAATAGCTAAAGCCCGTAGAATGCTTGCAAAATATTCTCTCTTCTTCAAAAGTGAACTTTGACAGAATGCTGGCTGGATTTCCAAGCCCAGATAGCCCCACTCATTTAGCCCAGCAGTTACTGGAAAACTCCGGATATATTAACACTAAATCCACAATTGACCCATTTAATATCCACTTCGGCTAAACAATCCTAGCACACAATTCAAACTGAATAACATATATGTTATCAAATAGTTGCTTCGGTGTCCATCAAAAAAGACAACATCCCTCGTGGCGCAATTGGCTAGCGCGTTCGACTGTTAATTCTTCCCAATCAGAATATTTATAATCGAGAGGTTCGTGGTTCGACCCCACGCGAGGGAGCTATCAGCATCCTTTATGTATTCTGTTCCATCTATAAGTTCTTTTTTTGGTTGTGGTTGTGATATATTCGCTTAGGCAAGATTTTGTGAAGTTGTAAAAACTTTCCGGGCTCCACCTTTTTGCCAAGCCAGGAAACATTGAAAACACTTTGATCAGGTTTCAATGACTGTAAAGAAAAGGGAACATTCGATATGCCAAAAGAGCCCAGCGGTTAAAGCTTTGGTTCTTCTTAGTGTTTGTCATGAAGATATTGCCGTTGATCATCCCTTACCTTAAGAGCCATTCCGCTGGCAGGGCTTGGCATAGAAACGAAGTTTTATACGAGATAGATTATTTGAAGTATGCTAAAATGTCGGTCCATAATGAAGACATGGTCCATAGAATGTGGATTGAAATTTGCCGGCAAGAAGAGTGAAACCATCCTATTTTTCAACTTATCTCTGAATCTCTCTTTAGTATTAGTCAATAGTTTACAAGAATATCTTTCCCCGAATATTCTTCCAAAAAGAGACAGGTTTTTGTGGAGGGTTCTGAACAATGACACCATCTTCTATCTTAGGTGAAAAGTCCGTCAGTTCCCGCAAGTCCTCTTCGTGAAGTTTCTCTGCCTCTCTGTGGATATCAAAAATTTCCACTTCTAAGTTACGCCCTTTGCTAACAACAATCTCAATTAACTTCTCGCTCACTAAACCATCGGCCCCTTTCACCCAGACTTCCAAAACCTCATTTTCATCCAACATGAAACGTAGCTCAATTTCCAATCTTGATTTGAGAAGTCCTGTAAGTTCAAGTGTGTCTAGTAACCGGTTCTTGGCAGCAATCTTACGCTGGCCCTCAAAAATGCGAAGAACCACTTTCTCTTGGTTGTTCGTAGCGGCTGATACTATTACTTTTTTGCTGACCGGAAAGACAGTTCCGTTAGGAATGATTGGCATGAATGCTCCTGTACTCAATTCAAACCCAAGAGACAACTCATTAACGTCCAGAAACATTGGGTAATTTCCAGGCGAAGATTCTGACATCCTATAACCTTGAAATGCTGCCCCGAATACGATGGCTTGATCTGGAGAGAAACCAGATGGAGGTATTATTTTCTTCCCCGGTAGAATGGCCCTGAGAACTTCTTGTGTTGGCACAATGTCTGAATTCTTCCCCCCAGTGACAACGACCCCGTCGACGTCTTTGTTATCCAGCTTTGCATCGTCGAGTAGCCGTATGATTAAGTCGGAAGCCCCAATTCTCGATTTATCGATCTCAAGCTGTTCGGAAACTGCAGAAGTACCTTTGGAGTCACTCCACCTCAAAGCACGATCTCGCTTCGTTCCCAAATAAGTGAAAACGCCATCCTCTTGGTGTAAAAGAGCGAGTTCAGATTCTTCCTCTCCAACATTGCACAAAAGGAACCTGCAGTCATACCGATTTGGCCTATTGCAAATCGTAGAGTCCAGCTTATAAGCGATGCCGATAGATACTGATTCGTCAATGATGCGAATTGCATGTAGCCCAGCAGGTTCGGCCGCTTCTCCCGTCGCTTGTCTCTGTTGGCGATTGAAATAGGATGGAACAGTAATAATAGCATTCTTAACAGTCTTATTTAGATGTCCCTCTACCATGCCCTTTAGTTTTGCTAGGATCAAAGCTGAGATCTCTTGCGGCTTTCTAGCCAGTTTTTCACCGCTCATAGGTATCATAATCAAAGGCCGCTCACTTTCATCAACCACAGTATATGGCAACTCCTTGACAGCTTCTTGGGCCTCGAGCGCCGAGAAGTTTCGACCAATCAAACGTCTTGATAGGAATGTCAAATTCGCATAAAGAACCCGTAGACATTTGTTGCTTACCTTGTATCATAGATAGTGGTATAGGTATCAATGAAAGCTTTTTCTTCTGCCTCGAACCCCATCAGAGGTTCCTTGTTGTCCAAGAATGTGACATATGATGGTACGTCACTGCGGCCTTGTTCATCGGTAATAATCTCAAATCCGGAGTCTTGATAGACACCCACTTGCGAATAGCTCTGACCGAGGTGTATGCCAATGACTAAGGCAAAGTTAGACAGTAAATGGAGCTATTTGAAAGACACGAACCATGACCTATGGGACCAATGGGTTGATCTGTATATTCTACCTTGTCATTCCCGTACAAGGAAGCGGACCGAAGACAGATAGAGACAAGCGACGAAAGAGCAATTCCAAGGAGGAAGAGTTCTTTCAGATCCAACATCTTGCTAAAAAACAATACTATGCTTGATGTTGTTATTTTCGAACTGTGATAGTTTGGGGTCAGGATCAGAATACCTGGCGCCTAATAAGTGAGTGACTCACCGCCACACTGTGGCCGTGCCTCCTTTGTAAGAAACCTGGTCAATAAAATCCATAAAATATTATTATTCTAAATGTCTAGTACAATTAAATTATTCATCTTAGTATACGTATATCATCAAAAAGCAAAGTAAAATAACCATTCTGAACCATTTTTGAATCTATTTTAGTTGTGTGACGGAGAATAATATTATTCTAAACTAGGTATGCACAGAGTCACGACCACGTCTCTTACTGTACTGTACCGTACAGTAAGCAAATCACTACCCTCGCTTCCTCCTTCTTTCATGTGCCGCATTTACGAGGAGTCTAATCATGGTTCTACTAACATGAACCAATCAAATTTGGTAGCCGCGAGATAGCTATTCGCTTCATCGCATTCCTTTGATATAAAACATGAGTCCAGGATACTCTACGGCTGCAGAGCTTCTACCCTTGACTTTACGCCTTTTCCAGTGCGCTATTTCTCTCGCCCCTAAAATAAATTCTAACTCCAACCCGATAATAGACAGTGAGTCTTCCTACAAGCGCTGTCCTTGTAGGCAGACGCACTGCCTATTAGCTCCAATATTAAAAATAAGCCCGATGAAATTTTCCCACCCTAGATAGACAGAATAGAAACCTTCTTCAAGTTTTGGTTTCTCTTTGTCCGGGACGCGGAAAAACACTTGGAAGTAATTCCACATGAATTTCAAAGCTGCCTTGAACTTTTGAAAGATCAGGAGAGCAATAGAACCGCTTTCCGGGCTGTGAAGTCTGTTTATTTTCTAAGGAGTAACCGCTGGCAATTAGCCGAAGACGAGACCAAAGAGGTTAGAGCAAGAATGGAAGGAAGTAGAACCATGCCGCTGAGGTTGACTGCTTCTAAGCTGCATACGTAAATCAATATATGTCCAAAAATGCGAACAGGACGAGAGCACATATTGACTATCAAATGTCCCCATTGAAAGTCCGCTCTTCATGATTTTATAATTATTTTTGCAATTTTTATCAAGATGAACCTCGCATTACTGTCATTATTTAGTTCGGTGTTGTTGATCTCTTCTGTATCTTCACTTCCAGCATTTGATACTCAAAACCAACCTGCAAAACGTGATATCCTCAAGATCCACGATCGTCCCTCCTTCTCGCATAATGCCACTCTCCACAGGCGTGACAATTTCAACAAGTATGGAGGATGCGACAAGAAGTATAAGGACGGTAAATCTTACGGGAGAGATATTGTATAATCGGGTTATAAAGATATGCGAAGGATGACTGGGAATGTCGACCCTTTTCTGGTGGTGAGCGGCCCAGGTTCAGGGCCCATTGAACTGGATCCTGGCGAGATGGAAAAACGCTTTTATGGCGACTTTAGCAAAGATAATAATAAGAGAAGACTTATTGGTGGTAGGTCAGCCAAAACCAAGAGCAGGGCAAACGTTAATCTACTTAGATATCTTCCGCAATTCAGCCAATTGGTGGCCTTGATACCCATTTGTAAGTAAAGTCCCACTTACATTGTTGCGCTACACAGAGCCCTGCCTTCATATTCTAGCTACTTGCTAATAGTATTAGGACTGGATTGGTGGACATCGAATAGAAGTATATTGCGAAGAAGACCAGCCTAACAGAAACAATTATAAATGCGGCAACAATGTCAACTCAAGACCGATTGGGGCGTATGCTGTAAGGTTTGAAGGGAAATCAAAGATTGTGTTTTGCGCGCCTTTCTTCCAACTGAACTCATTAGATGAGGTAAAAGCTGAGCTTGATTCATTTCCTCACACACAGAAAGATTTGAACTGGATGAGAAGTAGAGGCGAGAGAGTCTTTCATGAAATGACCCACTTAGCGATCGTTGAAAACCGTTATCCTCGTAAGTCTAGACATCGCAACAAAACCTTGGAACTAAGAAGTTAATTACTCCCAGGTCTTGTGACAGACCTTCCGGCGAATCCCGTTGACGGTCTTGGATTACTTGTCTATGGGCCACGAATGACCGAAAATCTAGCTAGCAAGTTTCCAGACTATGCTTACTTAAACGGTACTGATATGTATCAATCGAAAAGACGAGATCAGGAAACTGACTATGTGATGTTGCTGTAGCCGGTAACTATGCAATGTATGCTACTACAATGTGGTTTAAGAAGTTCTACGGAGTCCCAGACTCTTCTGCTATTACTGTCTCGTCTGTATCAGAGGATGGAGTCTACGATTTGTTTTCCGATGATGGTTCCGATCCGCTTCCAGCCGAGTTCGATAACCCAGAGCAAGTTAAAATGTTTCCTCAAGAAGACTTAAATGATTTCAGTAATAACTGAGTCAAATCTAATGTCTTTTCTTTAGCTACGATGAGATCTCGGAAGCTGAAGCAATAGCCTTCGAGGCTGGCGATTACACCCCAAACGGCTGGCTAGAAAACAAGAAGCTTAGAATACTTCCGCTCGGAGGTATAATCCCTCCTTCCTGTTTCAAGTCACTATACATCTAACCGCGCCCATAAATTCAATCACTTTTGGCTTTCAAAGCTCCGATGGCAATGGATACCGAGAAGATCTATTGACCATACTCACAGGTGTAAAGAATAGCGTTGAGATGATCGGGTCTGTGCGAGCTGGATCAGTGGCCAACAATGCAAATGAAGGCTACAGCGGGGTGACAATCGATCAGATTGCTTCCTACACAAGCGCTTATGGGCAGCGACCCAATGTCATTCTACTCCACGCAGGCACAAATGACATGAACCTGCCTTTAGATCCAGCTTCCGCTCCCCAGCGTCTCGACTCGCTTGTTGGGAAATTGGTTAGTGCTTGTCCAGATGCTACAATCATCGTTGCAAGGATCATTCCATCTACGAATAGTGGCACGTCGACTTTGATTCCACCATATAACAAGGCCATCATAGAATTAATGGCAAAACGAGCGATCAACGGGCAACATGTTATTGTCGTTGACATGCCTTCCGGGCTCCAAACCGGGGATTTGGCTGACGGTCTACATCCAAACGATGGGGGATATAATAAGATGGCAATCAAGTGGGCCATTGAATTAACGGCAGCCAATTCAATCGGTTGGATCAAGGACCCGGTAATCGGTTCCGGAAATACTGTAGCAACATGCGACCATGATCCAATTTGGTTTCCCCAAGGTGAGATAGCGAATGGAGCTGGCTTAGGGAGTAATGTTTTCCTGCCTGGAAGTTGCGCACTGAAGTAAGTCTATTCAAAATCCACATTGCATATATCGAGCGAAGCCTAAATCTTCAAAATAGTGAAATATCCGGTCTCTGCGACTGTAGGTCGAAAGATGTACCGTTGACACGAGAATTGAAGGAATCGACTAATAAATGTGACTTGTTAATGAAGGACCTTGTTCCTACTACCGCAGTCCACTTTGCCGATCTAAATGGAGACGGGAGGGCTGAATATTTGCATGTTGACAATGCTGGGGCAGTGACAGCATTCCTTAATCTTGGAAGCCCGAATGGAGGATCTGATGCAGCCAAAGTTTCCTGGCTTCCCCAAGGCAAAATCGCCACCGGGGTGGGAGCGACCCGTGGAGGTGTACATTTCGCTGATATCGACGGTGATGGACGAGCAGATTACCTCTGGGTCCACGATGACGGAAGTGTCGACTGCTGGCTCAACCTAGGCGGCCCTGACAATCGTGCGAATGCTGCGAAGGTTTCTTGGCTACCGCAAGGTGCCATCGCAACTGGAATAGTCAAAGATGGAGCAGGTGTAAGGTTCGCTGATATCAATGGTGATGGTAGGGCAGAATATCTCTATGTCAACACTGATGGTTCTGTAGAAGCTTATCTCAACTTGGGTGGACCTGATAAGGGAGCGAACGCAGCTAAGGTTGCTTGGTCGCCACAGGGAACTATCGCAACTGGTATGGGGATGGGTAGAGACAATGTTGTCTTTACCGACATTAACGGCGACAAGAGGGCTGATTATCTCGCTGTTTCAAGGACCGATGGGAGTGTTCAGCTGTACTTGAACGCAGGTGCACCTAACAATGGTAATGGTGCAAATGTGGTGTGGTTGCCGCATGGTACGATTGCTACCGGTGTCGGAAACGATGGAAAAGGGATACAATTTGCTGACTTGAATGGAGATGGAAGAGCAGAATATATCGACGTGGCGTATGATACCTCGGCAGTTACCGCTTGGTTGAACGGTTGCTAGAGGCGTTCACCTGAAAGTTATACTAAAGGATAGATTGGAAGATTTTGCAACATACTCGACTTCTATATCTGCTACACAATTGCAAGATATATTCTCAAGGGTTGTTCTGTTCTTCTGTGCTGTAACCCTCATTTTCGAATCAGCCTTACCTGTACCGTAAGACAATTAGGCGAAACTCTAGACACACCTAGGTTAGAGAAAGATATTATTATAAAAGTCTCGTACAATTAAAATGGTTCTCCAAGCCGTTTAGGATAACTAGAATTAACATACCCTCATTGACCTAAGTGATTTGGGACAATAAAGTTAACTGTTCCAGGCGTTCTAGTATAATAGAGTTTCAAAAAGTCTCATATAATCAAAATAATACTCCGAGCCATTTAGGATAATTAAAATTAATACGCCTTCATTAACCTAAGTGATTTGAACAATAAAGTTAATTATTCCAGTCGTTCTAGCACAATAGAGTTTCAGGGGTGTGTATAGAGTTTCGCCTAGTCATCTTATTCTTTTACCTAGGGCAAATTAAAACTCGCGAGAGATTCTCCCAGAACCACTAGCACAGAAAGTACACGAGTACTCTGATAGATGTAAGAGGCAATCAGAGGCTCTTGGAGCTGCGTAGGCCGAACTCTCCACGAAGACCCGACTTTAGCCTTTGTTTGGGTAAGAGTTAAGACGATAAGATATGTAAGAAACCAGGTTATGACTCTATATACGCTATCAAATGTGATTATGCTAAAAGTCTGGCACAACTTAATTAGTTGTCCCATTACTCGAGTATACCTAAGTTATTTAGGAGTGAAAAGTATTAATTATTTTAAACTATTCGTATAATTGATTTAGTTGTGTGAGGTCTTTAGGATAATGTTTTTATAAATCAGGTGTATAGAGAGTAATGCCCGCCTCTCTTATGAACCATTGCAGTGGATTAGAGGTTGATCCTAGCCTAGAACTTTCCTATTGGAGCTTGACAACTGAACTGCCTCCCTCCTGCTTCAACAAGAAATCCCTTATTTCCCCATGTCACATTCTACCTACAAGTCCTTTCGGAGAGTTTAGACATCCGAACGTTCATGATACTTTCGACAGTGACTGGAAGTTCGACAGCAAAACATCTTTTTGCCTGCTTCTCGAGACTATCTTCAAAACTCTTTTGTGCGCTATCTCTTTGATTTCTCATCTGATCCAGCTCATTTTGCAAATCTATTTCAGAGCCTTTTGACAATTTATCTTCCAAACTTTTAATGTTACGTTGAAGGCTGCTAAATGACTTGGAGGAGGCGCATTTGCTGTGTTCTTTTTCCAGCTGTTGAAGTCTAGCTACTTCCATGTCGAGTTCGTTGATATCATTTTGGAAATTAGCCGTTTCAACTTCGTACTTATTACGCAATTCGTCTCGTTCTTCTTGATGACCAAGGCGTGCGATTACTTGGTTTTTTCTGGTGATTTCCTGCACCCGATCGCTGACAACATCGTTATACGCTTCACGACTCCAACTGGCAATTTCGGTAATTCTATCAGCTGCAGGGCCACATTGGGCATGAACTTCATCAAGTTTTCGATAGTCCTGGCGATGATTTTCAATCTCTTGTTCGAATATGATTGCATTAGCGTCGATATCGCGTAATGCATTTTGGTACTCCTTGAAAAGATCATCGTGTTTTCGCGTCATCTTTTCCAGTTGTAATTGCAAATTCTGCTTCTCCAAATTCTCCATTGACGCTTGGTTACCGTCGTGTGTAGAAAGAGCTTTTCGAAGGAGATCAGAATGGTACTTTTCATCTTTCAGACTACCCTCTGCACGAACTTTGTCTTCTACTGCCGCTCTCAATTCTTGTTGTAATTTCTTGAGTGTTTTCAAGTCATTTTTCTCCTTCTTGGTAATATCTGACAGTTGATCTTTAAGCCTCGTAACCAGCTCATTGTTTTCATGGATCTGCTGGGTAGATTTCTGGATGTTTCCCAAGTAAGAAGTAACCTCAATTTCTCTCTCCTGCTTATCACGTTCCAGTGCCCTAATTGAAGAGTTAAGCGAGGATATCTCGGACTTGTGTTTAGCGACGTTCTCGGTGGTGATCCCATCGAGGGAAGAACTCGAGGAGTCAGGAGAAGACGAGCATCAAGGGGCGAGAAACGAGTTGAAAAGTTCGAGGCAAGTTTTCGAGTCGAGTTTGAGCTGAGAACACACGCCGAGAGTCAAAAGCGAGAGAGTCGAGCGGAACATACAAAGCAAAAGAGCAACCACGATCACGTCCTCAGAAAGACGAACACATTGATCTCGAGAACCCTCGAGAGAGAATTGGAACAGCACCACGAGGAGAATCGACAACGACAGGCCAGAGGATCTTATTCATTTATCGCGCGGACCAGAGGATCAGAAAGGTGCCTTCCGTTTGTAGAAAGCGCGACTGCCATAACAAGAGAGCTAGGGAGAGACTAGCGATTAGCGCCCTAACGGAAGACCTAACAAGTCGTCCTATCGTCGACAACAATCCTGAACCTCTTCTTATTCTCATCTACATCAAGACACAAGCTTGAGTTCCCGTCGTCGACAATATTTTACATCACTTGATTATCTCACCTTGATAGTCAAGCACATCCTCTGCTATACTACGCTGTGGTGGTGAAACCGTCACCCGGGTGAAGCCAAGCCAACATCGGTAAGTTAAAGGCGGTTATGACATCATTTTGGCCTTGGGATGTTTGAAGCGACTCGTTTTGTGCACCCAAGTTTGAACATTTTAACTCCAGAGAGTCAAACTTCTCATTCAGATGTTGCATATCTGCCTTCAATTCAAGATACTTCTTTCCCTCATCTTCAGCTTTTTGGTTGGATGGGGCAATTTCTAATATATCTTATTAGTAAGAGTTCTTGTTATTATAAAGAGAACACTTACCGGTACCCTTCATTGAAATTGCCTTGCTCAACTCCAAATTCGCTTCCGGAAGGGCATCACGCCCCAAAACAGTATCCTGTAATTGCCTCTCCAGAGTCCCTCGGTTACGTTCCCATTCCTCCTCTAACACCGCAAAGGTTCTTTCTAGCGTTCCTTTCTGATTTTCGAGTGCGATTTTTCCCAGCTGGTTTGTATCCACTTTACTGAAAGTACTCTGAATACCCGCAATGAGACTTTCTTGGCCACCATATTGCTGGTCAAGACTTTGCAATTGGCGGTTTTGAACGGTCAGGTTGACCATTTCATGTCGTAGTAGATTCTCGACGGCCTCTACTTGGGATTTAACCCCCGGTAGTGCCGCCACAATTATCTCCCCAAGGTTCTCCTACGAAAAAAATCAGTCTAATCATAAATAGGAGAAATAAGAAACCTACTTCCAGATCTCGTTTCTTCAGTGACGTTCGTAGACAGAACCTTCCAATCGTCCATAATACGTCTGTCGCATTTGATCATTGGCGGCTACTCGATGGTTTCCTTATCTCGCGCCCACAAATTTGGAATTATACTAGTATCTATCATTCAAAATTAGCCTGTGATATTATCATCAACTTGGAAATACGAACCGCTAGCCTCCAGGCCAAAGGTGCGCGCATGTCTCGATCCTTCAGCGACATACTCATCTCAATCTCAGACCCTTACAAAGGCTTCATGTGGTAGCTTCCCCTTCTCCTCCCCTAAAAGTAAGGTTGATTAGCAAAGCTATCTGCGGACGCCTAGAGCTGAAGTTACCAGGTAATCTGAGCTAACCCACTTCGGACTTAGCGCTAAGTCCCAGCACGTGACCCTCCGCTAACACGTGACCCTCGGCCCGCCCCCGCACCTACACGTTATAAGGGTACGGGCCATGTAAACAGCAGCTACGAGTACGGGCTAAGATACCAACATACTGGTACGTACTTTCATAAGTCTTCCCAAACTTATCTCCTTCCCCTTCCCCTTTCCTCTTCCCTTCCCTTCTTCACATTTCAGTAATCCATACCATACCTTACCTAGTCCAAGCACCTCCGTACATTCCCAAAACCAAACACACATAACTCAACTACATCCTCGTATCCTCATATCCTCCTACATACAACTTACAACCTACAACTTACAACTACTATAATTTCATAAATCATTATATAATAAATCTCAAAGCAACCCCAAAATAATTACCTACTCTAGATATTTTTAAATACTTGTAGCTCTCTGGAGTCTGAAAAAAAAGATCGTTTACTCCGAGCTCGAGAAATATAAGCTTCGCATCTTGATTCTTCGGCTTTATGATTAAGAGAGAGAGAAAGTCGCTGTCTTAAGTGTATTAGGTAGGTCTTTTTTTTAACTCGAGTTTTTAGGTAGATTTATAGTAGTCTTGAGGGGATTATGAAATTAAGTAGGTAGTATTAGGTAGTTACTCGCTCGTATATCAACTAAGAGTTACCATCTTACCTACCTTATCGTAAGGGATTAAATTTATATAAATAGTATAGTACAGTACGTCCTAGATGAAAATATGTAATATTGTAATATTTCTAATTATCTAAAGTATCCAACATACACACTATACATCCACAATCACTACCTACTCTACACTACCCCCCACAGTTTCTCAACGCCCCGCATGGGCACACCAAGATACACACATACACACCATAACCCCAACCCCAAAGCAGAACATCACAGATGCCGATCATCATCCCCCGCATCCCGACCTTCATCCACATGCGCGGTATCTCTTTGACTCGGACTCTGCGGATGGGTATCAGGCACTGTGCCCCATGATTCATCAGGTAATATTGCACCATCATCCTGCTTAGTAGATACCGACTGCCAAGGATCCCCATGTTGACCAGAAATCCATTGCCATGTATCGGAATACCTTCTGTTGGGCATGGCGAGAGAAGGAGGAGGAGCCAAAGAAGAAGTCAAGGGAATAGGCTCCGGATAGATACCCTCACAATCCATCTCCTCGCCACCATCATCCTCAACACTCATACCCTCCGCATCCTCAATCTCCCTCAGCACTCCTTCACCACCGAACCCCCCTCTACCACCGTTCTTTCCAACCCATAAATCCCGGCCGTCCTTCCCCCAAGAAATACTCCCCCTCAATAGATTCAACCCGAACCTTTCAAGCACACCCAAATCCACAACAGAACACCTCTCCGGCCGTTCATGCCCCCAAGAATATCCCAGCCCCTCATCAGGAACCGGAATAACCAGCTCCCTCTCACTCCTCCACTCCATCTTCACCTCACCCTCCTGCTCCTTTAGCTCGGGAAACCAACCTTCAATTCTACCTTTGGCCTTCCTAATCGCATCCAGGAATGCGCTTCTTTTTCGGGGATTACCAAGAACAGGCGATCCGAGGTCCAGATTTTGAAGGAGGGAGATAGTCTGATCTTCTCTGAAGAGTAGATGGTTAAGAGGAAGAGGACGAGAGTATGGGTGATGATGGTGCTTTGAGATGGTGTAGGGACCGAGGGCTATTGGTGAGTGGTACGTAGAGGCTGATTGCTCCGGATCCGTCGAGGGCTCGTCAGTGGAGGAAGGGGAGAGAGAGCGGTGGCGCCAGTTATTGGTATTGGACTTTGGCCAAAAACGTTCTCGGGGCATATTGGCTCGCTTTTTGTGTCCATTTCATTTTTCTGACCTGGGGGGGAGCCGAATATATAAAGGGTTGCCATTAAGATGCGGTAAGAGGGTTGTCGATGATGGATTGTGCTCGAACAATCCTGTGGTTGTAGACAAAGCGAGAATGTTTCAGATCGAATGTTCTTGGCTTGCTTCGTATATCCAGAGTCGTCTTGAAATATCTGTTGGCTCAGATGAGGAGATTGGATCGTGCTTTTAATTCGTGTAATGCGCTTAGCTCGACAACGGGAGAATATCTGCCGCTCCGAAAGTTGAATGGCGGAGAAGTATGAACCATTGTTCCGTTCAAATTTATTGAAGTCGATGGGATGATTTCTCAACCAGCACCTTCCCAACCCCATTCTTTGATCAATTGCCGGACACGATAATCGGTGGCCCAACCCAAATCTCTCTCAATGTCCCTCAGCAGTTCCAGCACCACCCTCCGCTCACAATCTTCTAGCAAACACTGGCCCGCTACAAACAAAGCCTGAACTTGATGAATTCTCACAGCCCCATCTGGTCTTCCCAGAGCAATAGCCACAATCTTCTGGCTTCGATCTCGAACTTCGCTCTCAATCGACCGGTAAGAGTTGAGTCGACTATGGACTTTAGAACGCCTTTGTGTAGACTCGTGAGGTCGATTGATGAGGAGTAATATTCGCGCCATGTGATAAGCTTGCATTGTAGAAGCACACATTGGCATACTGTACCAAATCTGCTCAAAGATAGTTCGAGGCTCATCTCTTCCACCTCTAGTCATCCTGGGCAACACAGCGCAAGGCTTGAACGTGTCTGGCAACCCCTGATGCCAAATTTCAAGTTCTTTCTCCAACCCCTTCCATCTCTCCAGAACAACCATTTGATTAATTCCAATCAAGCCAGTCGGACTAGAGGGATTCTGAGGATACACATGGTCCACTGAATCACCAGAAGCAAGAAAATTGACAATTTTTGACATTAACCAGATCAGCGCATTTGATATCATGTCTTCACGCATTGCTATTTGTCGCTCCGGATAATGCGAGTCTTCCGTGTTACTTGGCTTTACGAAACCACCATCATCAAGATGTAATCCTGCTGCTCGCCATAGACCAAGATCGTAAGTATTCAGTCTTGTTTGGCTTTCATTGATAAAAGCCGCCAAGAAATCCTGTCTAGCAAAATTCCAGAATGTAGCTTTTCTGGCTCTTGATGGTTTGATATGTTGAGAAACCGCGCCTGGACTCGTGGGTGATTGAACTGGCATCATACCCTCCTTTTCGGCAAGATCAAACAATGATTTAGTTCCACTGAGATGACGAGCCCAAGCACTATTTGCATTATCCAAGAATTCGTAAACGCACAGAATGGCTGTGGCTGCAAGAGTTTCATCGGCATTGTAGGCAGAGACTGCTCTCGTGATGCGACGCCTCTTATTTCCTGATGATGTACGATGACTTTGTGCAGAGGAGGACCTCCCATGAGGACTGAGAGTCTCATCTCCAGTCGTTGGTGTCATTGGAGTTTCCTTTCTCCCGGAGTGCTGTAGCTCTTCCATCAATCGAGATATAGCAAGATCATAGTACTTGGCCCCGATGTAAAACCAATTAACCGACTCAGGATTGGGATATAGTTCTATATCGGACTGCCTTCCTGCAATTCCTCCCACAGTGGCTTTTCTTCCACGCACGCGACCAAGTTGTTTTGCAGCATAGGCACATGCAGAGTGTCGAACCAGGGGATTGGATATGGCATCGACAGGAACATGGTGGGAGAAATAACATCCCAAATCAAACAAATCCATCCATTGTCCGGGAGTCTCCCCAAAATGGCGAAGTAAAAAAGCTACCTCATGATCATCTACTGCTGTCGACTCGTTTGGTGCAATGGAGTGGGAATTGGTCAAGTTTGGGTCGATTTGGGATGATGCCACACTGCTGGACCTATCAGGACCTGTGGGGTTTAGTATGAAATTTAGATTGTTAGATGCGTGAGGCGAAGGTTGTTGTTCAGGAGGTGGAAGTGGTCTCAGGTATTGAAGATTGCTTGTAGCCGCCACCGAAAGCGCTTCTAGTCCTGACGCTCCCTCGAAATTGCCCGGAAAATATGAATTCTGAGAAGGTTCTTGCATCTGCATTACAATTGGAGGTGTGGAAATGGTCGCAGGGAGATATTCGGGTTCGGGAGTTGGTTCCATGTTGAAGGGGTCTATGATGTTGTGGAAAGCGATGGTCTTTGGAATCTCAACCCAGACACTGTTATCGTCAAATGTGTTTCGATAAGTATAAAATCCTCCCAGCTTGTTATTTCCATCCTCCACGTCGCCGGCATTTCCATTCATCGAGGCATTCTGCTGATGTCGAAAGGCAATTCCTTCACTTGGTTGACATTCTCTTGATCCTTTCTTGCATTGACCGCAGATGGGCTTCGATTCGTCGCATTTCAATTTCCGACTGCGACAAGTGATACTATTCGCATTGTATGGGTCAGTATTTGTTTCTGCAAAGAAAGCTTCTCTTGGGAGAGAAGAGGAACTCTGAGAATGGCGCAGGAAAGTGGAATTCCTACCATCCCGTACGAGACCTCATTTCTCTTTCATGGCGCTGTTTGTTACGAACACCGACTTGGACTGGCACTGGCACTGGCACGTTGCATGATAATTGCTCGAGTAAGACCAGCGGTGTGGCAGAGGGAGAGAAGAGAGAGGGAGAAGAGAGAGGGAGAAGAGAGAGGGAGAAGAGAGAGAGAGAGAGAGAGCGATGGTCACGGTGTCAACAATGCAAAAGCAATTCGTAAGGTGTAATTCTGGGGACACTACACTGTGGTGTCAGCCATCAAAGTTTGAGGTCACGAAGTTGCTCGGGGGTTCTGGCCCAGGCGGGTGGCGGGGAAGTTTATCCCCTGGGGCCGCTGCTGGGGCAGAAGGGGAACTCCGTACTCGAGCACTCGAGCACGTACGGCCGCGGAGGAGCAGAAATTGGAGACGAAGGGGAAGGCGAGAAAAAGTGCGGAGAGAACAGCGGCGCAGAGCTCAACCTCATCCACATCCACTTCTCACGGCCATGTCAACCCATTTCGACACACTCACTCTCACCTCCCAGTTTGAGAAGTGATGGCGGTTAGAGGTGGTCGACGTCGACATCGACGTCGTACGTACTCGTAGTGTTTATATTTACTTTTCCCCGCATCGCATTGTACCCGTTTTTCCAAGCTCTCCAGGCCCTAGTGGTGAGCGGCAAGCCAAGCTCCAAAATGCCTTCAACGGTGGTCCATTTTGGTTGGATGGTAGGGCGATGGAACGCCATCGACTTGACTTCACTCAAACATTTCCTATTTGGGACTCGATGCTGTCATTGCTTTTTCCTAATCCCCACTGCGCTCCACTACTATACCGACGCGAAACCACGCCTACGATAACTGGATAGCGAACCCACAGACCCAGGCCCGTGAGGCAGGAAGCTCCCCCTCCTCAATTTTGACCCTCCACTTCCTCCCCAATTTCTGCATCACCAACGACCGAGTACATCTGCAATTCTGGATCATTGCAGATTGATCCGATCAAAACGGAGTCTAGAGAATCCTTGACCCAGTCCCGGGCACTCAATGTTTCCGACGAGAAGCAATGCGGGGAGAAAGCAACCTCTGTAAATGGCCATTTTTGCTCATTTCACTCCAAGCAATGTCAAGGTCGGTAGTCACAACCAACGGATCGGTTTTGGGGGCTTCGATGTGGTGCCACAGAAGAAAATTCATTGACTCGGAAATTAGCTCTCTACCGTGGATACAAAACTCGAAATGCAAGACTCGAGAGACTCGATGCCAATCCCCCACCTTATCTCGCAGAGACGAAAACACCCCTCGTGAACCAGACCTTTGCAGATATCGAAACGAAAGAGGCATGCCAGGAGCTTCATGACCATTTGTTCCTGAAATTCCAATTGCTTGATCGAGTCACCCGTGCACGAAAATTATATCATAGTCGCTTCTTCTCTATGGATATGGATTATGGTCATGAAAGGTATCTGTCTAGCTTGCAGGTTCAAAAGGCTACAGTAACAAAAGCTTTGGAGCGTCTGGAAAGACATACTGCTGAGGTAAGATGGTCTCTCATTCTGTGGCTGATTTATCAGTTAGCTAACTCGATTGCAGGTGTTGTATGCAAGTGAGTTATGGTTCAAATGGATTCGCGAGCGCCAAAACTCGGAAGAAGAAAACCCGGGAAAGGAACAAAAGAAGGTCAAACAGGAAGCTGCATTGTGGAAAAGACACTGGAAGGCCACCCAAGAACGAATGAGAGTCTTTCGAGAAAAGGAAGACAAGTTACGACAAGACAATTTCTTGGAAGCTGTGTACAAGGAAAGACTGGCCGAAAAAGACGAGGCTGGAGAGGATTCTGAAGAAGATTGGGATCCTATTGAAGAGGTGCTGGAAGACTCGAGGGGTAATTTCATCGGTATGTTCACGCCAGTAACGACACTGCTATGGCAGTCATGGCGCCTGGGTCACCCTCACCGAATATTGATGCTAACGATATCACAGATCTTATCAAACATTTTCTCTGGATTCAGTCTCCAATCGATGTCAATGAGAAGAATAAAACTGCCGATAACGAAGAAACGTCGACCTCGTCTGAAGAAGTTCAGGCACCGAGTCCCGCGAAGACTGCAACGCCCAAAAAGAAGACTGCAGGGAAATCGAAGGCTGTTGAAGAAAAAACCCCAGACAAAAGTCTCATTGAAACCAAAGATCAAATGGTTGAAAGGCTCCGAGTTGGATCCGAAATAGATTGGCAAAGAACACAGCCAATGCTGGTTGGCTCGATACAGCGTCCCGTCCTTACAAAAAAGACGGTGACCTTTTCGGAAGATGAAATTACGCACTTAACTCGTGAGATTAACGATATCAAGCAACTCCTTTTTTGTCGAATCTTATTGGGACATGCGACTTTACTACCAGCTGCTCTTCGAGCCAATAGTATCGAGGAGTTCCTTGCAGATGAAGAGGTAACAGGTTCTGCACTGAGAGATATTTGCCTCAAAATGGAGAGCCCAGGGCTGCAAGAAATTCGCGACGCATGTGCGGATTTATTTCGTGCTGAGGAAGAGGAAGATACTCCCATGCCGGACGCCGAGGCTGGTAGCGAAGACGAAGACGATGAATACAATTTCAAATTTCGAAAGCAAAGGGGTGAGATGCCTGACAAATGGCTTTCTAAACGTGAGAAAGCCAAAGCCGAAAAGTCGGCACAGGCCAAAGTTAGGGGCATGCCAGACATGGAACAGATTCTTGGTGATATCGGTAGCACAGCGGTGGATTTTGGAGACCTTAACAAGAAAGCCACGTCCCAGAAAAAGATCAAGGTCAAAATCTGTGGACGAACCATTTGGAACTACCCAAGCAATAAGGCCTTGTCCCGAGGCGGCTGGCTGCAGTTTTGTATCATTGCCAAGGATAGCAAGTTACCAAGATGTGATTGCACTGTGTCGAAATTGGGACGAATTTTTCGAACTCGACATTCTGTCATTGTGGGGTTATTTTCCCGGTCAGCATTGGATTGAATGGGTTGGAGGACAACCTAGACAGCAGATGCTCCAATTGGTATGTGTTTGTTCTTCAAAACATGGTAATGGCCGAATACTAACATTCGTAGGGATTCATTACATATTATGAAACAATTCACCCAGATGCAGAGATGCTAACCCAAAAGTATCAAACTGGTAGCCGTCAAAGGAATGTTCAACGTGCTCACGCAGCTTTCGAAGCACGAAACGTAATTTGTGCCCATATCAAACGTGATCAAGTCAGTCGTCGTCTGATTCAGTATCTCTCCATGGAAGCCCATCAACTCCTCATTCTCGTCCGCGATGCAGAGACTGGCAATATCCTGGTCAAGCCCCCAGAGGAGGAACGCTAGATCCACCGTACAAAGAGTGGCGTTGGAAGAGCTTCCAAGAACGAATGGAGAGTCGTCACCAGTGTTGGACCAAGGTTTTTTCGAACAGATGGATCGTCATCGCGATTGGCATTTTGATTTCAATGAATATTACGACGTTTATATTTGGGACGTTGATCCTGGCCAACCCTTTCATGCTCTCTATAACGTTGTTCAAAGTTACTTGTACAAAGCACATCGATGCAAGATTGGAATGGATGTTTATAACCCCGAAAAGGCAATTTTACAAACTCTCTGTCGCGAAGAGGAAAGTAATTGGGTCAGAGATTTGCGACCTGACGATAAAGGTATGCAATCAATTTGGGATCATATGATGGATCAAAGAACAAGATTTTTTTATGGCGAGGTTCCAGATTTGCAGAAGCATTACGATGAGATGGAAAAGAAAAGAGAAACAGACGAAAACGCGTTGCTCCCAGACAACATGTTTCCAAAACATTTGTTTCATAACGAAGCTGATGCTGCTGAAGACGCCATTCTTTTCCCTGAAGAACTCGATTCAAACACCTTGCCATCAACACAGATTGCCAAGGTCAATCCGATTGACACCTGGATGAAGCAAGGATTTTCAATGGCCCAATTTGTCCAAGGTTTAGACTCGGTGGACTCTGAAGCGGATGATGAAGACGATGAAGAAGGTTCTGAGGAGAATGACCATGATGAAGATGAAGATTATGTAATCGACGGCCCGCGTGATGATGCTATTCCGTCTGACCCTTCAAGCGTCAGCGCAACCTTGATGTCGATGTTCCCGGGGAATCAAAGGGATGTAATGGCCAAGATTCTACAGCAACCACGAGATACGAGACATTGGAGTGATCCTGATCGTATGAACGATGATTTCATGTGCTTCATAGATAGAGAGAAGGCGAAGAGTGAGTGTTTTGGTGTGTTTACCTTTTAGTGGAATGCTAACTGACTTGCCTAGTTTTCAAAGAAGTCTGGCATAAAGCAGACACTGAACCCCATGCACATGAACGTTATATCGAAATGCGATCTATGGCCAAGAAGTTCCTCTCGTTCCTTATGAAAACACCGGTGGGAGAAGACAACGATCGCTTTATTGCCATGAAGCTCGTAGCAGATATGAATGTCTCCGCCGGGGATATATGGGTGATGTAAGGAAGGCTCTCGCAAAGATTTTACCATTCTTCACCAAAGACTTTTTGGATTCAGAGTCTGGCCTTCCATTCAAAGACTCCCTATTATTTAAGCCAGAGGAACGAGCAAAGACTATCCCCGATTGCAGAACACACGTATCAAACAAGCACCGCAAAGCCGAATTTTGGAAGCCATTTGATGATGCGATAGATAAGCTGGAGGATACTGATGATCTTGGCTCTTTCCCTGATGAATGGGATGTAACAGTTCGACCCATCATTGCATCTTGTAAGTCTTTTCTCGCCCTTGATGATACCCAAAACATGTGTTAACGTCATCATTTCTAGTATACAAATCAGGCATCCTACGTAATCGTCCAGACCCCTACTACGAGGGCCAAGCCTTCTGTGCAATCGAGTCTTCACGACCCAATAAACCAGAATTCTTCATCGACTTCCGTCAGAACATGCCCTCAGACAAAGACTTATCACACATGGAAGACCCTTCAAAGGTAAAACCATTCATGGAACATGCAGCGGGGTTTGTAAAGAAGATCGCCAAGGAAGGAAGGGGCGAGGAGGGGAAAATCAGGTTCTCAGTCCTGAAAATGTGGTCTCATGCCTATTTCTACCCCCTCATGATAGGACCCGATAACCACGACATGACCTCGTTTCGTGATTTGAAGGGTCGACGCTGGATCTGGCAGTTTATACCTAAAGACATGGCAGGCTCGGAATACAGTATGCACTACACGGCCAAATCCCGCTTCGCGCCATATGACCGTGGACCAGATTCCACTTCTTCGTTCTCCTACACGAGTTCTAGTGGGTACGGAGGAGTCGCTGGTCTTGAACGCTACAGCAATCGTATGGGTGCTGGTGGTGGAAGAGGTGGCATGGGAAGAGGTGAGGGGGGATCCGGAGGAGTCAATTTCTTTAAAGGCAGTGTTGTGGTGAAGAGGGTTAAGGTACTTGTCATGGCGAGGAACGAGGACGAGTGTAAGGTTCTCACTGCAGCGGCGGCTTTTGCGATTGAGTGTCGGCCGTGGAGACAGGAGGTTGATCTTTGGAAGAGTTTTTTGAATGTGGATTATAACTTCCTTGAGGGGTTGAAGCAGGAGTGGTTTGAATAAGGAGTTTGGGATTTGTTGGTGAGGGCTTAGGATGTGTTTCGTGGATTGGGCTTGGATGAGTGGTGTTGGAATGGATGATGGATAGAGATAGATGGGGTATGCTTGGTGTATATGGTCTTTCTGGTCATTGGATTACTCTAGCAGAGATGTCTATCTTTTGAGGCTCAAGGTGTGTGTTTTTGTAGAATTCTATGAGTTTTATAGGAAGTCATACATGGGTAATTCATCTTATGTCATTGAGTGGTAGTGATTCTTCCTTCCCTCTTGGGGAGCGAGAGCTGAAGCCCGGGAATACTACGCTTAATTGACTTTGATTGGTAGACATAGTAGATGGATTGAGACAGGGAGGTAGCTTGTTAGCTTTTTGACTTGATAGTGTATTGTGGGTTTGGTGGAGAGGGGGGAAGGAAGGGGAGAGCGGGAGGTTCAATAGATGAATTCTACGGTAAAGAAGAGCCGAGATGAAGGAGTGGGAGTGGAAGTTGGATGCGAAGGTTAGTGTGATGTGATGTGTTGTGTGTACTTCAGACAGACGAATCGAAGGCTTCGATGGAAGAGAATGAAGATATTACAGTGAGAGTCATCCGTTCATGATATTCGCAAAGAGTTGAGTTACTCAGAAGAACCCCAAGTTCCTAGGTATCTACTGTAATCAGAAAATAAGATGAACCAAGGAAACACATCACCATCCACGAAAAGAACTTGCAAGATTTCAAATCATTTATTAAAAGAGGGTATCTAACTTCATCGAAGCTATTTACTGGTATTTACTGGAATCCCCTATACTATCTGAATCTCTGAATCTCTGTATCTCTGTATCTCTGTATCTGTCCCTCCGTATCTGTCTATTGCAAAAGGGCAAAAGGGCAATATGAAACCAGCCTACAAGAGTTCACTACCTATCTGTAACAACCCCATATGACATCTCCCTTACTATAGTCCAGTACGAGGATAGACGACCATAGAAAAGGCATCCATCTACATTACAACGAGTAATACTTCTCCCCCCGTCCCATCTTCGCAACATCCCGCTTACGGCCCTCGAAATAAATCAAGACCCCGTAAACAATCGCCGCCGTAGCAGAAAGACAAGCAGCACCCATACAAATCGAGTAGCCCGTATGATAGAGTGGTGCGTCCTTCTTGAGGAAGGTAAACGTTGCGATGATGCCTCCGGAATTGCCGAAGCCGATCATCCACGCGGTCCCGATGGCGCGCTCTGCGTGGCCGTGGAGATTCATGACGTACCAGCAGACTATGAGGGCGCCGGCGGAGAACATGCCCATGGCGACGAAGCAGATCCCGGCGTATTGTGCGGAGAAGTGGTGGTGGACCGTCATTAGGATGGCGAGGCCCGAGATGAGGAGGGTGAGGGAGAAGGCGATGAAGGGGGAGCGGAGGCGGGTGCGGTCGGATAGGTAGGCGGTGATGAGGCAGAGGACTAGGGCTGCGGCCACGGGGGGGACGGTGTGTAGTTGGGTTTGAATGATGTTGTAGCCGTATGTCTTAAGAATTGTGGGGGTGAAGTATGCGAACGCTAGACCACGTTAGGGGGAGTCAAATCAAAGAAAGATATTGTGGGAGAAGACTTACAGTAAACCGGAACCACAAGACAAAGATACATGATACCACCAGCAATATTCTTGACATCCTTGAAAAAGGCCAGGATATCACTCTTGGTGATCTTCTCTCCCTTGCTCACACCTGATCTCGCAATGACAAAGTTACGCTCGGCATCAGTCAGCCAAGTTGCATTCTCAGGGAAGTCAACGACGAAGAAGAATGCTGCGACACCGACGAGTATGGTGAGAATGCCTTCGAGAATGAAGATCCAGCGCCAGTTATGGAGACCTCGGATGCCGTCCATTTCTGCGATTCCACTTGCGAGGAGACCGCCAAAGGCACTGGCTACCAAGACCGAGCACCAGTAGACTGTGAATCGCTTTTGGGACTCTTCACGCTTGTACCAGGTGCTGATGAGATAGAAACCTGGAAGTTGGTTAGCTGTTGTGCGGTCTTTGGAAGTGATGAGAAAGGTTATTCAAAGGTATTGGCATAGTGAAAATCGTTATGCCAAATGTTTGGGTTGAAGTCTCTCGATGACTTCAAGCTTTTGGGATAATCACTTCAATTTTCTGAAAAGGGCGGAACAACAAGGGAATTATACGTACTTCCAGGAAAGATACCAGCTTCGAATAATCCGAGAAGGAATCGTGTTGTAAGAAGACCACCGTACGATGTAACGAAACCTTGAGCCAACATGACGATGCCAAATGACAAGATACAACCAGACACTATGAAGAGTCAGTACAGTACAAGCGACTGTATATTTAGCGATCTGGGGAAATCAACGCGAAGTCAAAATTATTCCCAAAGACTCGCATGATGAAGTCGGTCACGCGAAAATTTGGAGACAGTTGAAGATCATCAACCCAAAAGACGCGTAACCGATTATGTGAACGCTTTGGAAAGAGTGACAGTTGTAGCTTTGAGAAAAGAGCACTTACACCAGACTTGAGGCTTGAATCGCTTCATGAGCAAGTTGGATGGAATCTCAAAGAGGATGTAAGGGACGAAGAAGATAGTGAGGGCGACATTTGGTTGGACTCCAAGAAGCTTGAGGTCGCTAGGAAGGCTCATAGTCAATGCATTTGAAATGTTGACGCTGTCGGATATCGTGTCAGTATGTGGTGCAAAGGTCAGATCGGCCCAAAACGCGACTCACCGATCAAGAAACGCGGCAACATAGATAATGAAGAGCATTGGCAGAAGGCGGAAGTCAATCTTTCTGACAAGGGCTTTCTCATCTACACCATGACCATTGCTACCGACCAAGGCGGTGGTGGTAGATGGCATGTTGACGTCGGAAACTGCCACCAGAGGCATACCAATCTCGCCTTCAAAAGCGCGCGTCAACAGGTTTTCCATGAAGGAGGCATGTGAGGACCAACCTTGTTTTTCTGCGTCGTTGCCAGGCATTGTTACCATTGATTGAACGGTCAGGTAAAATAGTGTTGGTGTAAGACGGCGTGTTCTGGATGTAAAGATGTCCATCTGTGGGAGGGAGGGGTGTGTAGCGGTTTAAAAAGTTTTGGTATGTCGGTACCCTCTTTGACTTCCGGCAGGTGCCACCACAGCTCAGGGGATTTAAGCGAGTGGTATCTTTTGTGGGTCCTGTTGTTGTTGACCAGGGTACACTGCCTCTTTTTATGGGCGAGCTCCGATCTCAAGCTATCCGCAATCACGCACTGCCATAGACAATGGACAGACTGGAGGAAGGAAGGAGCGATGGAGACTCTCATTAGCGCAACACTTGAAGATGAGGCAAATCACATTTCTGCCTGCATTACATGCGCCCCTTTCGCGTCTTGACTACGACATTCATTCACTGTTTCTTTGTGTCAAGACTTGCCGACATCGTGAATCATCCTGTTTTTTTAATTATAGATACATGCTTTGACGGATGTAAGGTTACTTGCTTTAGTTGATTGCTAGTCTGCACGACCTGACAGTTCACGCACTAAACTACTTTCAATAGATCCAGTGCTACCAGAACACCAAGAGGATGACTGTATTGATCCAGATTCCCTTTGCACAACTCCACTTCCCACAAACTTCACTTCATCCAATTTCAGTTTGGCACAAACTCATCCTTCAGGATCCTATTTTCTATTCACCTTCATACTTACCTTCAACGTAATTGAACTATTGGCGCAAGGTTGGAAAACCACAATACGCATCATGTTTGATCTATTTCGAGTCTGTTGCATGGTTCCTTTCAAGATAGATCTGAGTTCTCGTGTCCCTCAATGACTTCATGCTGCGTTCGCCATGATAACCTTGCAGTTGTCCCGAAATCTCTGTTGCGCTCTTCAAGTCCTCCAACAAGAAGGAAAGGATAATGTCAGCTCTATTGTAGTATCAACACTCATCAAGCCCACCCGAAACTCCATAAAAAGAGCAAAGTCACCAAACCAACTCTAACACTCCAGCCTCATCCTGTCCCACAACACCACCACCTCCAAATCAGCAACTCGGTATAATGTAGCCGTAACACAACCACGGTCCATTCCCAAAACCAACTCGCCTCGTATATCCACAAGTAGAACGAGGCTTAGCCATCCCCTCACCCCACGTCCTCGAAATGCGGCTCTTTCTCGTCAGAAATTTATAATGGTCTTGATCAGCATGCCAGATCCAGTCAAAGTCGCGAATCTGGTCTTAGATCATCTCTGTCCCTGACCTTGATCTTCCCCACATCTTACGATTTCTTGCTGCAGCTGAAGTTTCAAGATATTGGGGTCCTGTACCTGAATCGCTAATTCTTGATTTGGAGTCTGGTTGTTTCTACTTTGATTGTCATTGTGTTGATTTGTTTGAAATGGCAACGCAAATACCAACTCCAGTCCCTGCATTACCGCCGCCACCGGGTCATGTTGCTTTCGGACATGATAAGACACTTTGGAAATGGAACCTGGTGTGTGTTTTGGTTTGTTTGTCGGTTACTACTTTGCTGTTTTTGGCGAGGCTTTATACAAGGGTTTTGATAAGGAGGGAATGGATGTTTGAAGATTGTAAGTCTCAATTATTACCTTGGGTTTTGAATTGGGATGGTATCTAACCAGGGATTTATAGATATGGCGTCTCTTGCATGGGTAAGTTCAATTACCCACTTTCATCATGACAAGATGATTCTGAAATCTGGTTTGACCTTGAAAATGAATACTAAATTGTCATAGTTAGGTCTAGTAACCTATTGCGCCCTAATGACAACAGTAATGCTCCACCACGGTGGAGTCCACCAATGGGACCTCACACTCCCAGAAGCTCAATCCGCACTTTTCGTCCGTCCCCTCTTCCCTCCTATCAATCTCTACCCTTCAACCCCTGCTTCCATCTCACTAACAACATCAGTGGTTCAACATAACCTCAATCGAATACGGAATCTGCATGTTAACCTGCAAACTCACCATCCTAACCATCTACCGGCGCGTCTTCCTCCCACACCACAAGACTCAAAAATCGTATTTCCACCTCATCCTCCGCGTCCTCGAAGCCATCCTCATCGCTTTCTACTTCTCCATCACGGTCGTCAAGATCTTCGAATGCAACCCCCGAGAAAGAATCTGGAAGAGGAGTCTACCGGGCACGTGTATCAATATCAATGCGATGTTGAATAGTAGCGGGATGTTTAATTTTATCACGGATGTGCTGATCTTGTTGGTGCCCGTGAAGAGTGTGTGGGGGTTGAATATGAGCAGGGGGAAGAAGGTGAGGGTTGTGGCGGTTTTTACGTTTGGGTTGATGTATGTTTGCCTTTTTCCTGGTTCTTCTTGCATTGAGTTTTACATCACGGTTACGCTAATTCTTTTTCAAGTGCACCGGTGTTTAGTATGATAGGTTTTCTCGCCCGAGAATCCATTGCAAAATCTCCGGATGTGACATACAACCAACCACTTGCTCTTTTATGGGCGTAAGTCCACAGGAATTTCTCTCTTTCCATTTATTTTCTAGGCTAACATCCCTCAGAGCCGCAGAAATCACCACGGGCGTAATATGCATCTGCCTCCCTCCTCTCTCAATCCTCTTCCACCGCCAAAAGGCCCCCCGCGGTCCCACACAAAGTATTATCAACGGCGTCTCAAATCGTTCCAATAAACTTAACTCCGCAACCAGAGCCTCGAGACGGAAGGGAACCCTAAATATTGATGATGATGACTTGCTTGAGAGTGGGTATCTTGAGTTGCAGGATGGCTGTGTGCATGAGGGACGAGGCCCAGAGATGGGGATAGGTGATGGGAAGGAGAGGATGGGGGAAAATGGATGGAGGGTGACGGAGGTCAGTGCTGGTGGGAAGCGTGAAGGGGATGGTGAAGGGATAGGAGGTAGGGGAGGGAGGGATGGAAAGGATATCGTGAAGACGGTTAGGGTGGAGTGTTCTTATGAGTAATCTTGAATTAACCTCCTGTAAGATACGTGAATGGACGGAAGTGAAAGAGATATAGTTCTAGAGAGATACGCAAAATGTAAATCAATATTCTTATTTACTTTCGCTAGGGTTATCCAGTCGTTGAACTCTTTTTACCGACCAATCCTTGATATTATTTTATTCAACTCTTGTTGGTGAAGTGGCTTCACTGGAGACCTTGTGGATTGGTATTTTTTGGACTATCTCTGTGCTTGTTATGAGGAATAGAAGTACGACTTTTATTCGGCCCAATCTTGCTACGCTCTACCATATTATCTTCCTATGCACTAACATTTTTCTAGGCACGATGTTTCCTTAGCTCATCTAATATAATAGAGTTTTATAGCCTCTTTTAGTCGGAGTTTATGTAGATGCTTCTAAGAAATCTCAATTAGAATCTGGGATTAATTATATATCTACAGGTAGCTCATGGACTGTTCACGTGATGTGGTCAGGAAGGGGAATGGGAATGGCCCCTGCTAGGTTTTGGTAGGTATTATATTTGAGTATACGTGTTAACGCGTTAGTAATTACTTAGTAGGTTGTTTATAAGGAAGGGAGCGGGTCCATATTAACTATTTTACGTATTTACTTATTTAGTAGCGTAGAAAGAATTTAAGAAAATCTTCTAGAAAGGGGTAGAAAAGTATAAATGCGAACGAATTTATAGTCTAATAGAATAGCTTATACAGAATTTAACTATGGTTCTTTCTGGGTTATTATTTAATAAAAATATACTCTCGGTACGTTAATGGAGGTCCTAAAAACTAGACATATCGGTTAATTTATTGTTCATTCGTCAGTCGTCACACGTCGTCAAATGAGGCTTATTATTGGTTTTGCTTTTGTATTACTGGCTAGCTTCAAGTGTTTGAAATTCGCGCACATATAGAGAAGTGGAAAGTAAAGTATAAGCACCCTCGGTCGTATTAAGTGTGACGGAGCTGGATTTCATTTGACAGGATTTCATTCGCTTGGCCTAAGCACGTGACGAGACTTGGCATTGGAACAACTTAAATAACTTCGCTCCTTTCAGATTCTCTTCTCTCTTTAGTTTGATTTCTTCGTACCTACGGTTTTAGTTCTAGCAATTGATTCAAAAGTGATTTAATGTCACGGATGCCAACAAAGGATAAAGTGTATACAGCTTTTGAATCAATTGCTAGAACTAAAACCGTAGGTACGAAGAAATCAAACTAAAGAGAGAAGAGAATCTGAAAGGAGCGAAGTTATTTAAGTTGTTCCAATGCCAAGTCTCGTCACGTGCTTAGGCCAAGCGAATGAAATCCTGTCAAATGAAATCCAGCTCCGTCACATTAAGCAACGCGAAAGGAAGCAGCCACAAAACAAAACAAGGAGGGCAAAGGAGAAAACCAAGAATAAGACGAAAAAAGGGAGATAATGAAGGACTATCCTTATAAAACTCTCCTAGCGAGTAGGCATATCCACGGAGTTCCACCGCCTAATACTGGTATCCAACGGCTGATCTCCACCGCCTGCCCTGCAACCAAATTTCCACCTCTCTCACATTTGTGTAATAAGCATGGGAAAACCTTGTAGGCCAAAACCACGCCCAGAGAGCTCTCCTTGCCTAGTAAATACGGTTCAAAACCATATCTGCTATTCTGCTATCCAGACGCCAGTTCGTAGTGTGAGTCGGTAATTAAGGAACAAGCTCAAAAGAAAGGAGCGAAAATCGAGCGTTTGGTCCACTACTACTACCACTATCCCCATTCCTATATATTGTAAGAAACCTGGTTATTGCTCTATACACACCTCTCTTGGAATAAAATTATTCTAAAACCATCGTATAACTAAAATAGTAGTATAAAGAGCTTAGAATAATTGTTAACTCTTACTGTTCACTGGCTTAGGTATCCTAAGACAATTGTTTTGCTTGTACTACAAGTTTAGTATAATAACCTTTTGTATAGTGTGTATAGAGTAACGACCAGGTATTTTACTTGTTCGACTGTAGGAATTGTATCGAGGACCAAATACAACATAGAATAATGAAAGAACTTATAATAGTGTAGCTAAAGATATGGTGGATATGGTGGTGGTGTTAGAGGTGTGTGGTATTCCAGTAGTGGGGTAGGATATATATCCCACCATGGTTTACTAAGGAACCCCATCCTCATTCACTATAAATCCTGCTATATAGTTATCTAGTGCGTGTTTTCGATTAGAATATCTAAGTCGCGACTGAGAAATGTTTCATTTCAGACGCATGGTAGCTTTTCTCAAAGGTCTTGGACAGGTAAGAGAGGAGGGCATTACTCCGTACACCCCTAGGTTATAAAAATATTATCCTGAAGACCTTATACAACTAAATCAATTACACGAATAGTTTAGAACAATTGTTACTTTTTATTTCTGATTGTACTAGGTGAAATAGGACAATTAAGTTACTTGTGCCAGACTTTTAGTATTTATTTATTTATTTATTACTATTCAACGTCAGGCGGATTCTAGCTCGCGTGGGCTAGGTAATAGAAGATTCCTAAAATAGGGCAAATGACGCTAGTGGGGTGCCCTAGGCTACAGGGGGTGTAAACGAATGAGCTAATTTACAAGAGACAATTTAAAGAAAAGTTCCACTTTCGGAACAGCCCTTATCCTTAATTAGTTTTAGAACCAGGGTAAGACAAAGGAGATATATAATTAAACGAGAAGGGAAAGAAAAGGAGGCGTGTCTAACTAGAGACAGATTTTGGTGTAGAATTCGGTCTTAAAGTAGACCAGGCTAAAAAACTTCTCGCAGTAATGTCCATAGAGCAGCTGGGGGTTCTTCTTGGCCTTAGCTAAAAGCTTAGGGTCTTTGTTGTTTGCTAGCTTGCAGAAGAGTAGGTGGTAAGGGAAAGAAAAGGAGGCGTGTCTAACTAGAGACAGATTTTGGTGTAGAATTCGGTCTTAAAGTAGACCAGGCTAAAAAACTTCTCGCAGTAATGTCCATAGAGCAGCTGGGGGTTCTTCTTGGCCTTAGCTAAAAGCTTAGGGTCTTTGTTGTTTGCTAGCTTGCAGAAGAGTAGGTGGAACTGGGTCTTAGCCTTCTTACACTTACAATTCCCTGACTCAAGTAGCGAGTCGAAGTGAAAGTAGCGAAGATGGTAAGCCGTAAAGTCTCCATGTCTAGAACGAGCAGCAATTAAGCGAGCGAGGACCTCTCTAGGTAGCTGGAGAGATTTAGGTTTTGAGGACCAGGTGTAGAGCCCTAGGTCCTTATAAAGAGCTGGAAGTGTCGTGCTCCAGAGCTTCTTCGCAAGCGCAATCCCTGTCTCCTTTACCTCTCTCTTAAGCGTGGCTGTACAGAGTAAAAAGGAGGGTTCAGGAGAGGGTAACCGTGCTGCTCTCCCTGCAGCTTTATCTGCAATCTCATTGCCTAGGATCCCTATGTGGCTAGGGCACCACCTTGTCTGTATTTTCCTAGGGTACAATTGAGCTAATTCGTTGACCTTGTTGAAGGTTTCTTGCGAGGTGCCACAGGATCGGTAGGTCAGCTGTAGGGTAGCTTCGAGGTTGTCGAGGCAAATCCAGCACTTTCTGGCCGACGATCAGAAAGGGGAGTCCAGGGCTAGTTCTAGGCCATGTAGAGCAGCTCTAGCCTCTGCATCATATACCTCTAGTACCTTGCCAAAGGAGAAGATCTTAGTATTGAGAATAGCCCCTCCTCTTGTTAGACAGACACCCCCGCCAGTGCTCTTGTCGTCTAAGCGAGAGCCGTCAGTGAATACTACTAGATCAGTAGAAGGAACCAGAGCTAGGAATTCAAGGAATTTGGCCTTAAAAGAGCTCTTGTCTCCACCAGGGTCAGGTCCTGCTACTTCAATATGGCGGGCCTGTCGGTTGAACCCCCTGTCCCACGGAGGGTCTTGTATTGGGTCAATCTCTTCAGAGGGAGGGAGGGCTCTATAAGAGCGATAGATAAGTCGCTGTACGAGTAAAAAAGCTGGCGAACAATATGTTATGGTGGGGATCAAGGAATAGATTGTTCGCAAGGAGGGAAGAGAAACGCTCTTCGCACTCCTTAGGTATTTTTCTATCTACGGAAGGGTACACCCGCAACTTCGCTAAGCGAACCCTTATTCACTAAATCAAAAACTGTCACACAAGTCCAGCACTTTCTGGCCGACGTCCAGAAAGGGGAGTCTAGGGCTAGTTCTAGGCCATGTAGAGCAGCTCTAACCTCTGAATTATATATCTCTAGCACCTTGCCAAAGGAGAAGATCTTAGTGTTGAGAATAGCCCCTCCTCTTGTTAGATAGACACCCCCGCCAGTGCTCTTGTCGTCTAAGCGAGAGCCGTCAGTGAATACTACTAGATCATTAGAAGGAACCAGAGCTAGGAATTCAAGGAATTTGGCCTCAAAAGAGCTTTTGTCTCCACCAGGGTCAGGTCCTGCTACTTCAATAAGGCGGGCCTGTCGGTTGAACCCCCTGTCCCACGGAGGGTCTTGTATTGGGTCAATCTCTTCAGAGGGAGGGAGGGCTCTATAAGAGCGATAGATAAGCCTAGCCTTAGGGCTAGGGCTATTCACACATCGTTTGAGCGGGTGGGCAGGGTCTAGCCGCCGGATCTTGGCTTCTAGTGCTTTACTTCTTGCTATAAGGGCAATTTCAGGAGCTAGAAGGCCAGATTCCATGAGGAGAACTGAGATAGGNAGGGTCTAGCCGCCGGATCCTGGCTTCTAGTGCTTTACTTCTTGCTATAAGGGCAATTTCAGGGGCTAGAAGGCCAGATTCCATGAGGAGAACTGAGATAGGAGTAGTCTTGTATACTGGGGGGATAATCCTAGCACACTTAGCTACTACTCGGTCTAGGAGAGTTAGGTGATGGCCAATTCGATTGTTTGTAGTCCCTCCTTCTTTGGCTCTTGCTCGTCCAGGGAACCATGTTTCGCTTCCAAAGTAGGCGATTAATAGAATACAAGCGGCAGTCGCTTGTTTTAGTAGGTAGGAGGGAGACCCTCTTATTGTGTTTGT